CCAAACCCCAAACCCAAACCCAACCCCAAACCCAACCTAGTAGAGTCTATTTTACAAACTCTTCTTTATCCAAATTACAATGCTATCTTTCTATCTATCTTCTAAAACCCTTTTAATTAATCATCTTTTACTTGATCTTTTAACCATAAAAATTGTAAAGCTCTATCTAATGTTATTGGATGTGGTGCTTAATCTCTAAATTTTGTACATTTGCTAAAAAATGCAACCTAAAATACTTATAATTATTATACATCCTCTTTCTCTACTTATCTCAATACATCTTCATATAATATTTTATGTTTATGAATCTTCTACATTTTTTTCTTCATTTATATATTTATGATTTATAAAGTGGTTAATTGATATTATGTTATTATTATAAATGAATTATATTTTATTAAATCAATAACAAATTCAATAAATTATCAATCTCTATAGAACACTATGATTTTTGCACTTTTTAAATAACATTCCCATGCAATTTCTAAACATTTTTAAACGATTCCTAATTTCTTAAATTAACCTTTCCTACTCAAACCAAGAATTGATTCATTTAACTATTTTTTAGAATTGTCCACATTCATAGCTTCTGTAATTGTTAATCTCCTTTCAGCAAATTATTTTTCCTTATAATTCGAATAAATTCTTTATTCGAAGGGTTATTGTTAATGTGTCAAATAATCCTATTATTCATTGAATAGTGTTAATGTTACCCAAGATGATGAATAAGGTACCTAGAATTATTTGGTATGTATTACAGTAGCCCATCCTTGATCTTTTGTTTCGACGATTGCCTGAATTATTGCTATTTTATCATAAATATCTGAAATATCTAATTCTAAATACAATTCAATCCCATCATTAGTTACAAAACTATTTTTTTTTATACTAATTTCTTTTTTCTTGAAATTTAAGAGTTATTCTTTAAAAAATGAATTTGTTAACCCTAAATTAAATATTTCACGTGCCATCAAATATTTTGATATCTATTAAATCAAACGGAAATCAAGAATTCCAAGTAATCCCAATGAATTTTATTCTTAATCCATATAATTATTAAAATAATAAAATTTTAAGGTATTTTTTTCGTTTAAATTTTTAATCTTATAGAATAAAAGTTGTTATAATTCTTATGATTTAAACACATTTAATAATAATAATAAGAAATATTTATAAAGTATTATTTTGTATTGAAAAGTCTTAAAAAAACTCTCTATTGTCTATGTATTCAATATTTATACTGTCTAAGATCTCCTTAATATTAATATAAAATAACTATTGTTTCATCTTTATTGTTGGATGAAACTTCAAAATATGTTTATATTTTAACCTTTATTCATGCTCTGAACATATGCCCCATACTAGATTAAATAAATTTTATACTTTATAAGGCTCCCATGATATTTTTTGTGTTAAAATAATTAAACTTCAATATCTATTTAACTTAATGTTAATTCTCTTTTATTTTATTTTTTTATTGTAATATTTGCTTATTCCTTTATAATTTTAAATTTTAGCATAGTTTTTACATAAAAAGTAGCTCAATATATTATGTGCATCCTTTGTAATCTTATAATGATTTTTAGGATTTTTTTATTAACATTCAGATTTTATTATTTAATTCTTTATTATTCGTTGAACACCTAATGCACAATTTAAAAAATGTGATTTTTGATAAATCTGATATAATCACATTCTTTGATGAAAACTCATACTTTTTGAAATACAGTGTAAGTTTAGATCAATAATAATGTTCCATTATATATAAGTTTCAGTCATTACGCGAATTAAATTTGATAAATTTCTAAGATCTGTTTTAAGCACTAAGTCATCAGCATACTTTTCTAAAAATCTCCTCTAAAAATTAATCTAAATATAGATTAGAAATAATACTTTTCTTAAATTTTGTATAAAATAAAGTATTCTATAAGTATTGCTTAAGTAGCTAATAGTAATGCTATTGATGATATAAAAAAATGGACTAATTCACTTATGGTCTATTGGCTGGGATCTTTTATAGTATTTTATCAAAAATTATTCATTCTCAAAAATCGATGTATTTACAGCAACTAATTCTATTGTTTTGGAGAATTTGAAATCTAAGTTGGTATTTATATTCAATCTAAATCTTCTTGGTTTTAATAATATTGTCACTAATTAATCAAGCTACATCTTCATAAAAAAAATTTTCTGATTAATTTTATATCGCAATGTTGTTTAGATATTGATTTCCTGGGTTTCCTCCTTACTAATTTTATACTAATTTATATTGTTCTAATCTGTTTTAGATAAATTTAATAAGAATAAATTATAATTAAATTCGCAATATTGGAAATCATTATATCAACTATTTTCAAAATTAGAGTTGAATTCAATCTATTGAGGCCGAACTTCATGTTTTGTATAGTTCTTAAGATATTTGTGTTTTGTATGTTACTCCTCATTTTTAATTACAGGACTGTTTTTGTTTTCAAACAAATCATTTACTTCAAAATATTGTAGAGTATCTTAATCATCTTCTCCATTCCATGATTGTTATTCAGTATATGAACTCGAATTATGAATAGAATCACACAAAGTATAGCCTCTAATAAATAGATCTAATATCTTTTTATTTTAATAGACTCTATCAATAGAAAATATTTAATCAATATCTGTTTTTTTTTCTGAGTTTTCATTGAATTAATCATCAATAGCTCCCAATTATATTTAATAAATTCACTATTTCTTCTTACTATAAAATGATGGCAATTTATAAAGCCGTTAATCCATCACATCCAGATTAATTTATATTGGCTCCATTTTTAAGAATCAATTTAATGGCTTAAGCAGATCCTAACAATGTTAAATAATGTATTAAAGAAAATCCATAAGTATCTTATTCATTTAAAAACTATCTAACTGTTTCTTGATAATTTATTCCTAATATGATTATTTATTAAATTAGTTGAGTGACTCTATAATCATCAATTTATTCTAAGGATTCAATATTTTCTTGTTCCATATTTGTAACTTATATATTTAATACATTATTGAAATAGGCTTGGAAAGATGCAAGTTTTTCAATTACTCTTACTTTAAATTCTGAACTATCAATCTTATCCTATTCAATGATTTTTTCTTTTTATTATTTATCTTTTTTTGTTTTTCTTTTCTGTTTATAAGTAAAATAATTATTATCATTTTGTTCATCTATTAAAATTGTATTGCTAATAATTTTTAACTCTACTTTCCCAGGAACATTAGGAGGAACAAGACATTTTAGCACTCCAGGCTGTACACAATTTGCTGGAACAGGAACATTTCCAAATAAAATTTGGCATTAATAAATCTCTTTTATTGGTTAGAAACATAACATCATTTTCATGCCCCCCTCTGTATAGTCCCATTCAGGTGAAAAATCCACTATTTTCACAGATAATGCTTCTTTAAAACTAGAATTAAAATCATCTGAGCTTTCTTTATGAGTTGAACTGGAAGCTCCAGTATTTCTCTCTTATTCTAAATATTGAATTCTTTTTTCTAAAATTGATATTTCTAATTAATAATCACAAATACTTTATTTCAATTCTAGATCTTATTATTAATCTTGAAAATCACATAGAAACCAAGAGTCACATTAAAATTCATTACTTATGGGAATAATAATTAAAGGTTTGGTTTATTTTTAAACTTCGTTTTACTCTACATTTTCCAAATATTAAGAATTTAAATAGTGTACTAAATAAATATTTTGTGATTATTCTAATAACTTATATATTCTTCTATTTAATTATTGACCATCCTTCTTAATAGTTTAAGAATATAAACAAATAATCATCTAAATCTTTAACTTAAATATCTTACCAGAATTCCATTTATTTTAAGTTTTTCAACATCCTCTCTAGTTCCAATTCCATTATGACGAGGAACATATAAATACCCATCTTTCTTCCATCCTCTTTCTTTTTCTGGTCTAATTAGAAAATATGAACCTGATTAAGGCTAATTTGGAAGCGAGAGATGAAAATCTATTCTTAATTCTGTTAGAATTTAATAAACTTCTTGAATTTTCAACCTCCTTTAAGAAATATTGAGCATTAAATTATAAAATGTAAAAAGATTACTCATTTCATATATTTAAAATTTCATCAAAGTTTCTTATTTGGTTGACCTTGACACTATTTTGTGTTTCATTATATTTAGGAGAGGTATATTTTGATAATTCTAATAGTGATGACTTTTGGCTCGACTCATCTGATGTTAATTTTGAGTTTCTTCTTTATTTTTCTTTTTGCAAAATTTCCTTTCCTTAACTACTCAAAACTTAAGTAGATTCTTAAAATGCAAACTAACCAAGTCCAATTGCTCTCATTACTTTATCACCAATATTAAAAAAATTAAAAAGTGACATTATTATAAGCATTATTGGTAAAATTATTCTGAATATTGAGTCAAAACCTGAGAACTCATCAAGTCTTTTGAAAAAATTAAAGAATTGGTTTGATTTATCAAGCGAAGCTGTCATCTAAAGGAAATTATAACACAGAGGAAAGCTCACTCTTCCAAAATTTCTAATATAAATTAGTTTATTACACTGAACCAAACATTAGACTAGGAGCATCTGTATTGTGTTTTTTATTAAATGATATTAATCCACTTATTTTCAATTAAAATAAACCATAGTAAACACAAAACATCATGTATGTTAACAAAATCAATAATACAATATTTGTTAATTAAGTTCCTTTTATTGATAAAATAGCTGAAGATAAAATGTTAATATTAATTTTCTCTTTTATTAATACCTAAAATTCACCAAACATTAATATTGTTGAAAGTAATGAAAATACATATCCAATGTATTTGTTATAATATCTACGAAAGTAATTAACCCAAATATATTAGACTTTAATAACTGTTTTAACAAAGAAACTTTGATTTTCAACAGAATCAATTTCATATTGCCTTTCAAGTTTTTTGACTTTTTTTAACAGCATATCAAATTTGGTGTCTATTCTTCTTAAATCAAAAATTATTTGCTTAACAGATTTATGAAGCGCTCCTAATTATTATAAATTTAAATTTTAGTATTCTTTTAATAATTCTCTTTTTCTATATTTTGCTTATGATTTAATAGTCTCTAAATAAACTGAGGGAATCAAAGCAATAATTTTAGAAATATAAATTAAAAATTCGGTCTGTGCATACTGATCTTCTAAAATTACAAGAGTCTTTATATAATCAAATAAAATACTTTGCAAATTTCCTCTAGATCATAACCCTTTTCAGTTCTCTACTCTTCGAAATAAACTGAATCTTTATAGCATTTATCAAGCACTTCCTCCTCTTTACTTTCTTTTATGTACCTTTTTGGAATTGCAACTAGCCCAAATCCTAATAAAAGAACAACAAAACAAAGTCCACTTAAATTATATAAATATTTACAAAAAATTTGCTAATCCTATTAATGAATTGGTTATATAATCTGATGAATCACTATTTAGAGCTAGCAATATTATAATGATTATTCCTAAAATCAATCCAACAGTATAAATTAACAAGTTTTTCTTGATTGAATATTTCATTCTGTCTTTCCAACAAAAGTCCCCAGAATCTTCATAATCTTGAAAAAATGGAAGAATAAACCTGAATATTTGATTAGATTTACTTACCATGATAATAAAAAATTTGACCAATACAATATCCTCCAAGTTAAGAATAAGCTCTACTATAATTAGGTTTTTTCTAAATCTTCTTAAGTATTTTGCTAATCTATAAACTTTCTTTGCTTAACTATCAACAATATTTACATACTTATAAAATGTCAATCGGTAATACAAGGACGATAGAAAAAGTTAAGATCCAAGAAAAATATGTCAAAGCTTTTATGTAGAAAGGAACCTCTTTAGCAGAATAATCCCATACAAGGTAGAAGACATATACTAAAAGTAGTATTCCTTCTATAAAAAACAATAGTACTTCTTCCTACATAATAATTAATTTTATTAATTCTAAAATGAGGAATGAACTGGAGAAAGTAAAAAAATTAATCTGGTTATTCTATATCATACTTCATTACAGAATTATTGAGTATTGAAAGATTTTCCATTATACTTTTATTTCTTTCTAAAAACAAGTTCAATATAATACTAATAATAATTTAAAATTATACAGAAAAATAAATATATTGATCTCCTTTAATGAGGATCAATAGAAATCTTTATTATAATTTATAACCTTAAATTAAATATTTTCACAGACATACTTTCGACTATTATTAAGATTTTTCTATTGTATCTTCTGAGTTTTCAATTAATCTTTTAATTCTAGATTCAGTTAATTAAATTAAAGGATTTTGTACAGAATCAAAAATTCCATTAATGGTTGCTCTGCTCTAAAATTTTGTGACTGGTGAAGAAACACTAATTTAATCTAATAATTTATTAGATTCAGCCAATGCTTTATCAATTCTAATTTGTAACGAGGAATCCATAAATAAATTTTCCTCATTTACTGCTTTCAAAGAAATCATTGATTCCTTTTTTCTATGATATGATATATGCTGTTCATCATAATAATATGAATTTGGAGATTATAAAATAGATTCTGGTGGATGGTGATCAGTAAAATCAACTGAGTCTCCGTCCAAATTGCTAACAAAGTGGTGATACTATTTTTTTGCCAAAACTTATTTTATTGACAATCTTTCTTCTGGATCAGGAGCCAACATTTCTTTAAGTAAAGTATATAGACTATTAGAGTAAGAATACTATGCAAATTTTTAATCTAGCCTTTTAAACACAAGATTTAAATTAACAAATTCTTCAAGGTAGTAATCACTTACAGGTTATTTTGTGATTAATTAAGATAATAGTAATCCTAAACAAAAAATATTTGCTTTATCTTAATTTATTTTATTTTTTAATCCTGAAAACAATTCTAATTATTCTGGTGCTAAATATTCAACTTATCGATCATTATATTTCACTTAATGAAAGTTAGATATAGCTTCCAATGCCACTATGTTATCTACTAATTTAACAAATCCATCATCTGTAACTAAGATTTTTGATGGATGTAAATCTGTTATTTCATTATTATTTTATTTGCAATAATCCATAGCATCACACAATGAAAATATCAAATAATAAAGTTCTTTTTCTGTAAACCTTTCTTTAAATTAAGCGATAGTGTTTTCATAATATTCAACTTGGATTGACAGGTATTTAATTTGTGAACATAAATCATTTGCTACAAGTTTCTGAAAACCTAAAACTTTCAAAAGATTTATATTATTATACGATTTTCTCTTTAAATAGGTTTCTTGTTTCATATTATGCTGTTCAGACTCAAAGATTTATTTATTAATTATTGCGATTTTTCTTCCTGTATCACTATGTTTATATAGTTTAATCTCTCCAAAAACTGGATGAGTTTTTAAAGTTAAATATGTATAATTTTAATCTAATACAAGTAAGTTTTATGATCCATTAGTGTTTCCCATTTTTCTTAATTAATTAATCGTTAATATATTATAATTTATAGAATATAATAAAACATATTTAGAATATTGTTTTATATCAAAGTATATAAATAAAACTTAAATTATTTTTAATTTAAAGATCCATAAAACAAAAATTTGTATTATCAATATTCCTTAATTTATTTTAATAAAGATAATGTGATTTGTTCATTAAATTTTTCAAATGGAATAAACATTAGTAAATGTCTCACCAAATAAATTTAATTGTGAAGAACTAAAGTTAAAATTTAAAGAATTTACTTTCGCTTTATTTATAGAAGTATATAAGGCTAAAAAGTATCATACTCAATCCTCCTGCTAAATAATAAAGTAGACAGCCAACTTCTAAATTATAGATGTATGTGCTTAAATAGGAATTCTTCTCCTATATGATTTCATAAATAAATGGTTCAATAAATGAAGGAAAAAATACTATTAATGCCCAATATTCATCACTTGTGTATCTTTTGAAATTTTCTTAATAAAACAGTAATTTAATATTCTAAAGTACCCCATTTAAACCATTTTAATAACTTTTACGAAATTATTCTTGTCCGCATACATAATGATTTGATTTGGCGCATAAATCTTTATAGTATATCTCATTAAGAAATTCCAATGTTCCATCCTCATTGGCTAATGGTAATGGTAAGAATTTGTAACTTTAAATTGCCTCATCATATTTTACAATAATATCTGCTAAAGCTTCTTTTGTATAGTTGTTGACAATCATTTCATTTAGCAAATTATAATGTTATATATGTTGATATTCATGAGATAAATGTACGTACTATTCTGCTCTAGCCAAATATTAGTTGGGAATTTAATTAGAAAATAGAAGTCCTCCAACCAAGTAAATAGCCATACTAAAAAATATGAACATTAAAATGCAAATCTCAAACCACATTGATAATTTCATATTATAAATTTTAGTTTATAATATTTATTATTATTTAGAATTAGGCTTTAGAGATTTGTTTGGTCTATCATTAAGAGTATATTAAGAAACAACATCATTAGTTATTAAGTTTAAGCTATTTGATTTGGAAATATTTGCAATTATTTCTGATAAGTTTTTTACTTCTTTTTAATAATCGTATATATTGACTCTTGTAATTAATAAGACAATCTTTTCTTAATAAATATTTAGTTTTTAATAATTTATTAAATAGGGTAATAAAGGCAATACCAATATTCCAATTGTCAAAAATGTAATATATTGTTAAACTGTCATCATTTAATCAATGTCGTTAACAATACCTTACATTTGAAAATCATTAATTACATCTGTGATTTCTGTTATATCATAAAATCTACTGATCAAATTAAGTAATTAATTTGTTTCAGTTATTGAAGACATTATTTGATAATTACTCACTAGAAAATCATATATACTTATCTTCTCATCTTAATAAGAATCTTAATTAGTATAAACCCTGATTGGAATGTTTTTTTCTTCAACTTTTATGTATTAATCAATTTCTTCAGTTAAGAGTTCCCTATAAATAAAAGTAGTTTCTATAACAGAATCAGAGATTGTCTTAGATGAATCATTAAAATGATTAAAATTAGCTTCTTAGAATTGTTGGCTATGTAAATATATAGCTTATTATGCACTATTTATATATGCTCTGTTAAACTAATATGGAATTAATAAATGAGCACTAGTAGTAATAACATTTTATAACATACTTACACTTAGAATAGATAAAGAAACTACAGAGATTAAGGATATTAAAATAATAAATATCCAAGTAGATATTAAGTTATAAAATTAATGAGGCATTTTTGAATTCATGTAAATTTTTTCCAAATTTTCTCTTTCTGCTTTTGACATACCACTTGTTGTTGATTATTATTCATCTAAGACTCGTTTCTATTTATTTTGTTTTATTTTGTTCACATAAACTTAATATTATTATTGCTTTTAAAATGTTGGTTGATCTTGCTTAATTTAATCCTTCTACAACTACTATTAATTTTCTAATTCAAAATTTAAATCATCTTCAAATTCTCTAATTCCATCATCTTGTAATCCATTTTTAGATATATGTTTTGGATCACTTAATTCTTTCTATTTTAATTATTTTTCATTAACATTATCAAACATATTTTAATAGTATCTTTACGATCCCATAAAATCTTAAGATTGATGTTTATTACTTAACATTCCTCTTTCAGTATCTTTAGGAGTCTCTAGTAAAATTCTTGGTGATTCAACTTAGAAGACTGGCTACATAGGCTAACTAAGTGAGATATTAAACTGCAATATTCCTTTTCCTTCCTAACCATCAAAATCTTCATTCATTTAAGCATTGTATTAAATTTCTTTATTAAATTAAGATGCTGAGAATTTTTAGTCTGTTTATGTTTAATTGTGAATTATTGTTAAAAATTAAGATGTTGTTGAACCAGTTTAATTAGCTTTAGATTAAGTCTAAGATATCTCCTTTATATCTATTATAAAATATGTTAAAGTGTTTTATTTTTAATAATCAGATATAACATAATTAAAAAATTCTTAAGATAAACCTTAAAAATTCTTTTCAAATTTTTAAAGATTAAATCTTAAATGAAACCCTTTAGATAATTTTTTTTAGTCCTTTTATTCTTTAGCAAATTCTTTCATTAATTCTCTATCTCTTCTATCAAATACTTCAAACTTATTATTAGTAGTTGACATCTTGGATAATTATTTTTCGTACTGACTTCCTGTAGAATAATTTTGATATTATTAAAACAAATTTATTATATTTGAATTTGTATAAATTGAGGATTTTAAATCTTCAAACTCTAATATAGCAGTATCATCATTATCTTGATATTAATTATTTTAGATTTATTCTATATCATCTAAAAGCTTATAAAAGTTTGGAAATAAAACCTAAATTAATCCATATTTAAGTAAATTTGAGTATGTAAAGTACTTTTCTGAATCAGATAATAACGAGAATAAATTTTCACTCATACCAAGTATAGAGCCACGTGAATCAAACATAATTTAATCCTGAAATGAAACTTTTAACATACAAACATTAAAAAGGACATCATCAAAATTTGAAAAATCATTTCTTAAAGATAAAATTATTGGAAATATAAATTTATTTTTATTTGAAACAAAAACTTTTCTATTGTCAAATAATAGATGAGTCGATCCATTTTAAATATACTAGTGAATAATTTAATTGTGATAACTTCCTATAAAAGGAGGCATTAACTAATTTATATTTGTAATTTTAATTTATTCATCTCGATTATAATTGAAAAAGGTTTCTATTCTCTCTTCATTTTTACAAATTATATGCCCAAAAGACTTAATAAGTCCTGTTTTAATTAAAGTAAATTATCCCCTCATCAAATTAAAATTATTCAAACCATTTTCTTCTCGATATTAATCTCTATTTTTTAGTTCTTAAATTTTTTACTCTAATATATTCACTCTTCCTATAGAATTAGATATGATTAAGTAACTTAATTGGAGTATTTTTAAGAAACCAACATTTTCATAATTTTGTTGCAATAAAGATATTTCATGTTAAATTTTTTTATTTTAGCTTACAATTTCCATCATTGGTTTTTAAATATTTTTGAGAAAAATTAAAATTGACTCACTTCCCTTCTCAATTAATTGCCAAATAATAATCTTTTGAGTCAGAATTTTAAAGAAAGATTTTTAATAATTAGTACATGAATTTTCTAGCTGTATCACAGTTTCCAAAGATAAATCTTCTACTAAAGGATCCTTCTAATTATATTCTTATTAGATTTTATTGAAATAAATCAATTTAATTTCTAATTTCTAAATAATTATATTAATTACTTTGATAATTGTTGGAAAAACTATTCTATAAAAGTAACTTAATTTTTTTTAGTTTTTATAGCAAAATAATTTAAGAAAGTAATAACTCATTAATTTATTACCTGAGTATTTCTCTAAGAATGAAGCATACAAATAATTCAATCTATCTTTTCTTTATAATTTTGGATGATTTAAAGCCTATAAAAATTATGAATCCAATAATTTAACAAGATCATCAAATTTTAAGTTTAATTCTCTCAGACATCTATAATTTAGAGTTATGTCATTATTTCCATTTATTATACTTTGGCTGTTACTATCTAATTTTAAATTTTTCCCATATTTTTAACAATAACATCCAATAATTTAGCAATGATTGATGTGATTTCGAATAGAAATATAAATAATCAATTTTTGTTATTATAAAGAATACATTTCAATTAATTCTTATGAATAAATCCAGAAATCTTGTAAATTTCTATTTTAAAACAACTTAATAAATTTATCTTCATAAATACTTAGCCCCACATGATATGACAAAGGACATAATCCAATAATAAGATAAATGCTACAATTTTCTCGAATCAAATCATAAGTAAATAAAATCTAAATCACATAAGCCATAGTAAAGGCTAGAGTTGTACCCAAATAACATTTGGTTAAATATACCGATGGAAAAGGCCTCTAAATTATACTGTCGTATATTGATATTAAACTAAATATAATTATGCAAATAACAGTTGATAATTAAGATTAATTTAATGAAAAATATGAAGACATTGTAATTACTGCTTTCAAGACCTACGCAATCTAAAATAAGGATATTTTCCTTTTGTATCTATTAATATCGTTAAATTCATGGCTTTGACAAATTAAACAGGATATCAATGAAATTCCAAAAGAACAAGAACCAAATAGTACTCCAACAATTTTTTGAATATAAGAATTTGAAAACTAAATATTATCTTTATTTTTACTATAAGTTATGAATTAAATTCTAAGTATATTTCTGCTAAAGTGAATGAATAAAAGCTGAGCCATACGCTGTAGAAACTACTCAGACTTTAAAATAAAGGGCTACTTTAAATTCATTTTAAAATTACTTTTTTTCTCTTAAGTATTTTGAATAAAATGAATATAGTATTGGTAATATGATTGCAATCGTTATTGGAAGATGTAATAGTGTATAAAGTACCCAAAATGTTGAGTTTGTATTTTCTTATTATATAAATTGTATCAAGGTTGAATACTATATTTTTGATAAGTAAATTACTGATGAAAATTTTGCTAAATAGCTCATGAAAGTATCAACTTAGCTTTCTTTTATAAATAACTTGGAATATGGTTAAATAAAGTATAAAATTATTCCTAAAGTGTAAACTTAATGTGGTATTTTGAAGTTTGTTGGATTAGCTAAAAACGAGAAAAGTGTGACTAAATAAGTGTTGATAATTTTATAGATCATTTTTTAATATTATTATTATTACTCATAAAATTGATATTATTTTCTCTAAAGTATAATAAGAAATTTTGAAAATAATTCATTTATATAACACTCATAGAACATAAATTATATATTTATAATTCATTTTTGGAAATTTGATTCATTTGTTATTAATATGATTATTTTGCTAATTTTCTAATTCCATTAGATTGCTATTCCTTAATTTTTTAGAGTGATATGTGGGGTCACACTCATCTATCTAATTTTATTATTAATTTTGATTGTATAATCTATAAGCTATTTAAATGTGATAAGAATTCCTATTAAATTATTTAAACTCTTCTTTTTTTTTAGTTTAAATTTATTAAGGATGCTATTGATGTTATTTTTTTTTTTTTTATTTCTTCACACCTTAAAATGATTAATCATAGAAACTTTTATTGATTTGTATGACAATTTCGTGAAATGTCTTGACTACATCTCTAAATTCTTGATCATTATATAACTTTTATCGAGCAGAAATACATCCCTCCTAGCTTTTATTACTCATTATTTTATAATAAATGAAGTTTAGCTCTAAAATTACAAATTCAATAAAATAATAACAAGAATTAATAAAATAATCAATTACACAATTAACAACAAGAATAATTTGTATATATTCATTTCTATATTCCTTTTTCTTCTTCTTGCTCCTCATCAATTTTGTACATAAAATTGATAGCCTCAGAAGGTTAACCTTTGTTAGCTAAGTTATTTCTAGTTGTTTAAGCTGTATTATCTGGGTTTGGCGAATTAGCATAAGTTTCACAATTCATGATTAAAGATGGTTTAAAATTGTTTAATTAGGGGGATATTGTTTGAGTATATTAGTCAAATTCTGAAGTTTGATATTTTTTCATATTTCTTTTAGGTTGAGGATTTTAGGGGGAATAAGCATTATATTAAATTTATCCAAAAGACTTCATATTTTACATAACAGGTATGCTTAATTATTTTGTATTTTCATCTTCTACAATTTCCTCCTCAAATTTTTATAGAATAAGATTGACAACTTTAGGATTGAAATTTTAAGTTTGAGATATCGGATTCTATTTTGTAACATTAGATTATTGGAATTTGGTCTTTTTATTTTCAAATTTCTTTTAAAAGTAAGGATGTAAAAGTGCATTTTCTGCAGTAATTCTTTCCTTTGGATTTACTTTAAGTAATTAAGATATTAAATCAATAGCTTCAGGTGGAGTTTTGTAAATAGATAGTGAATCTAATACTATGTTACATTTTTTATTTAATCTCAAGACTTCTTGATAATCACTTCCAGGAAATAGTTCTTTTCCAGTACACCTTAAAATAAATAAATATCATACAATTTATAAAAAATACAACCTACACTAAATTCATCACAAAGTGAAGTATATATTTAAGTAAGATCTTTTAAGTTAGCAATTTCTGGTGCTACATAGCCAGGTGTTCCACATTTAGGGAATGGAAAGATTTCAATATTTTGATATGTGGCTAAACCAAAATCAACAATTTTAAGAGATTAAATTTGATTAATTTGTTTAAACATTATGTTTTCTGGTTTTAAATCTCTATGCATGATACCTTGAGAATGCATATAATCAATAGCTTATAAAATTAACTTTAATATTTGTAATACTAATTACTTTAATTATCATTTAAATTTGTTCTTATTCAAAAATTGATTATCTTTAAATCAGTAATTCATGTAAACTTTTTCCTTCTAAATATTCTAGAATAAGATAAAATGTGTTTTCTCCTTCATAAAGATCTACTAAGTGAATGATGTTTTCGTGTTTAAGTTTTTGCATTAATTGAATTTCATTAAACAAAGCATTCTAATATTTTTAAAAAAAATTACATATCCTCCATCTTCTTGCAAATATCTTTTGTCAACGCATTTGGATGCATATTGAGATTGATCATCTTTTTTATTTACCAAATAGACCTAAGTAAAAGTGTTAATAATACTTTTGAAGAACCACCTTTACCTAACATACAAATAGGAGAATAGAAATCACTTATATCCTTGAACATAATTTAACCCTACATTAAATCCTTGAGTTGTTACAAATCCTTTGTTGAGGCAAAGAAATATTTTATTTCATCTTTGTATTGGAATCCGAATTATTCAAGTATAGGTGTTTTTGGTTTTGTTATCCAATGAATTTTGAATGTTAAGCTTAATTATACAATATATTTTGGGTTTTGTTATTTGGGATTCTAAGAAATTGTAAATAATTACGCTTGAAAGAATCAAAGTATTAGGAAGCAGGTATACATGGTATTTAGAATCAATAATCAAATGCTTACGAGAGCATTAAAATGTTAAGAGAACTTAATCATAATTTATTGGCTGCATTTATTAATTAAATAAATGCGAGTGTGATTACAACATAAATAACAATGTTCGTTGATATATATAATAATTATCATCTTTTTAAAGCTGGTATAAATGATGCTTATTGTTTGAATGTATTCATTTTTTCATCTTTAATCTTTGCATCATCTTGTAAGGCAGTTCTACGAGCATTTGCAAAAGTTTATCCAAAAATATTAGCTGCAACTACTCTTTTTTACATACCTGTATATCCAGGTAATGGATCACCAAGAGGGACTAATAAATATATTTAAATAAATACTTGGAACTTTTTATCCAGGATCTCCATGGAATTTATGAGTAGCTTCATCTATAGTTTCTGAATGTTATTCATATTCACTCTTCCAATTAGTAAGAGATTCTTTTAATCTGGGATTGCCTTACTCATCCAATCTAAAGAAATTCTTAGCAGTTTCAGTTTGAGGCTAATAAATTCTATAAATAATTGAATTACAATCTTATATTCTATAGGTTTTGGTTTCACACCAACTATTTCAGCAGCTGTTCTAAGTTATACCTTATTCTAATTTTGATATGTGTCTTATAATTAAGATTTATATCTTAATTCAGGTGGTACATCTTATCCTTTGTAATAATCATCATGTTATATTTGATATGTTATTTTCCCATAAGTTTAAGCAAATAGATTTTCAGCTTTCATTGATTTAATCTCTCCAGCATATCCTGAATAAATTCATATAACTCATTACCTGGAATATGATTTTGTGGTTTTTCTTCTTAATAATATCCAACTTGCTATTCAAAAAAGCTTTTCGGAATATGTCCAGTATACCCGGGAACAATATATTACAATCTTGTGCCTTCAAACATTATTAGAAAATAAATAAATAAAATAATAAAAATTATATTATCTTCTCATGCCTTTCTCATCAATAAATATACTCTTTAATCATCAGCAAATTTATCTAACTCTTCTGATTTGCCACTTAACTTAAGAATTAGACCACCAAAAGAGGCAAAAATATTTATCATTTTATTTTATTCCTTAATCATTTTAAATACCCGACCAAACATTGCATATTAGAATTTTTCCAATAGTTCATTGTCAATTTATGAAAATTCAGGTTTATATTTACCCTATAAATAATGAACAAAATCTTTACTTAATCCATTTCTTATGAAATTCCTAAAGATCTAACAATAAGGACTCTATATTCACTACCTTTATCTATTGGATAGATATCTATATTGACATCTAATTCCATATCAACTTCTCCCGACTTTGATTTGCATTTTATTCTTGACACTCTTTTGAATGACTATCCAGCCTAATCAATATCCTCAACTTTAAAATATCTATTCTACTATAGATTTCTTACTCATCAATCAGTCTCTTTTCAGCTACAGCCATTTATAAAATTATTTAAATATAATATACTAAATATTTACTTACAAATGTATATAAAATTATGTTTATATAGTATATATACTTCATATTCAGTATTACTCTTAAACAACAGATCCCTTTATCTTTAAAGGACCTTTGCTTTTACAATGATGAGATCCTAATCCTGATCCTGAAGTTTTCAATAATAGATTCACTTAACTTAATTGATTTTAATTGTTCGAATAAGTTTTACAAAAAATAGCAGCCTATTTTATCAAATTGCCATCATTTGTAGATTTTTTAGCACTGTGATATTAATTACAAGACTGAAGTATCTTTCTAAAATCGTTGCTGTTAATCGAAGAATTCAGACTCTTACAAAAATTTTCTTTTAATTTTAAAGGAGTTCCTTATCTAAATTGGTTATTCTCCATTTTTCTTATTGACATTGGAGTCATCATCAATGGTCTTGGGTTTACTTAGCTAGGACCATTAACTTTCCTTAAGGGACTCTAAGGAAGTCCAGTTGATCTATGAGAACTTATTTATTCTCTTCTATATCCATGTACAGATATTGGTCGTTGTATCTCTACAGATGGAGGCCTAATCTAACTGAGCCTTTTTATTAATAATTCTTAATCAAAATTTTATAATTATTACATAAAGCCTAATAGAATGCAATTAAATATACCTGGATTTGGATTTATCAGAGGTCTAACTTATTACAAATGTTGCAATGATTTCTACAATGGGAAATTACAAATTTGCATCAAATATGCTATTATTATTGTAGCACTTCTGCTCACCCCCACATAACAATGTACTAAAACATTACATCTTTATCTATTCTCTTGAATGAATTAAATCGATTCATCAAAATACTTTTTAATTGGATCGTGGCTTGTATCATTCAAATACAGGATCTTTAATATTACATTTATATACTTTATGATTTGCATCTTAGAATTATAAATTAGCCATTTCTGATCCAACAGTAAGTATTGCGCCTATTTGATTCTATTATAATAAATAAGGATTTATGGCTGCTTCTAATCCACTTAGAAATAATGCTCCAAGTTCTTAACTTTTAGGTAAGATGCAATCCATAACTCCTGAAGGAAAAGGTGGTCGCTATTATAACATCTATATTTTATAAATTTATTGATATAATTTATTTATGAATGTATATATGAGAACTCAATTTCATATATTTTCAAAACACTACTTCTTTATCATTTTTTTAATTTAATCTAACTACATACTTCATTTCTTATTTTAAACTACTAATCAAGCCTTTTTTACTCTGTATTTTTCTTTTTAATTGATATATTACTTTTCCTAATTTACTCAAAATTTACAAAGTTTGACTTAAATTTAATTTAATTCATTTAATTCTTTGTATTTCATAGATTATCATAGATTAATTTTTAAAGATTCAAAATCAAATGCATAAAATTCTAAAAAGAATCAACTTTTATAATAATTTATACACACATACATTTTAAATATTAACTCTTTCATAATGATTGTTCATTTATGCTGAGTATAAAATCAATATCTATATATTTTTCATCTATTTCATATATCTTGTCTTCTTTTATTAAATTTACTCTTAATTAAGGCTTTTCAAAATCTTCAGTCCCAGTGAGAAAACATTTAAAATTCATTAAGCTTATAGTTTTTTATTATGATAATGCTATTTAAAATTAATTAATTATTTACTATCTTTCCATTTTCTATTCTACTTTGGATGATGAGATTTTAATTCAAATTAAAATAGCCCCTCATCATCTCCTACAAATTAAATCTTTATTGCCATATCGAAATAATCTGGTTGACTATACGGTATAAATCTTTCTTAATTAAAGACACTCTAATTATTAATAGTCTTAAATACCATAAATTGAACTTTAAACAATATTGACTTTTTCTTCAGTTAGTAAATGTCATACAAACTTTTTTTAATATTAAGTATTTTTTATAATGATTGTTATTTACAATATAATTGTTCTAGCTATTCAAAATAAGACTCATCTAAAACACCTAATTTCTAAAATGATTCTTTGAAACTAAATTATTATTTAATGAAAATCACTACAATATTACAATATATTACATTAGCCTTTTTAAACAACTTATCTAATTGAATTAAGATATTTTAAATCTAAATTTTAACTTCCATTATCAATTTAGATATTTTAATTATAATTGCTTTTTAATTCATACAGTTCTAAATCATCATCTATCTTATCAGATAAATCTACTATATCAAGAAGTTTTATTGAGTTTACTTTCAAATTAGTTGCAAATTAATGATTTTTAACACTAATGATTAATTTAAACTATTAATCTTTAAATTCTTCAAAGGAATATAATGTCAATATGAAAGGATGTTAAATTAAAAAATGTTAATCAGCAACAACTTTATGAATGTTGCCCTTTTATGAGATAGATACTCCTTAAAGACTCAATAACTCAGATGCTATTTTAACTTTTGATATTATTGTCAATTCCATTTCAGTTATTTCCATTGGTAAATCACTTACTGATAATAATATTGGAGTGCCTATATTCGTGATAGTTGCAATATTCTAAATGTTTATTAATGGATGCATTAAATGCAATTTTAATTATTAAACTTTTTAAGAAACATCGAAGTAAAGTTTAAAAGGTCCCGAAAGAAAAGTGACTTTTCTGATTGAATATAAACCTCCTTAATTATCATTTAAAGATTATTTAAATTCAAAATTCACTTTTTTTTCTTCTCTCAATTATTTCATATCAGATATTAATTTCAACTTTTTTTTATCTTTAACACTCCCACCTTTATGCTTTAATGTTATTGTAAAAATTCCATCACATTCAACTTACAAATATTTTAATATTGAAAATTTAAATACGAAATCATTATAAGATATTCTTTGTTTTACTTAAAATGTTTCAAAGTATCCTATAAATGATAATTTAAGTTTAGTTTAAGGAAGTTTCAAAATTTAAAAAAGCTTAGTATATCTACTCCCAGGTAAATTTGATTATAATGTATCCTTAAAAGTTTCTTAAAATGATAATTCCATTTTTTCTCTATAAAAATATATCAATTTCTAAACAAGTAAACTTGAATTGAGGTTTTTAAAATCAATATTATTGTATTTTAAAGCCTTATCTAAATTCTCTTGATTTAGTTCTAATTTTGGATACACATTCTTTAATTTTAAGATCATAAATTAATATTCAAATATTACTCTATGCAAATTTAATTGAATAGCAATTGAAATTATATCATTTACTATTGAACAATAAAATTCAGAAAAATCCTGTAGATTGTGTATTTGACCTTTCAATTTAGTGTCACTTAATAAATAAGTTTTAAATAATTCTTTAGGGTCACTTTAAACATTTCTACTTATAACAACTTCATCAAATTTAATCTCATTTACTTATTCAAGAATAGTTTATTCCAATAATTCACATTGTACTGATAATGGTAATCTTCTTACATGATTAAATTATATTTAATAAAGTGTCTATCCTAGTTTTTCAACAATATTTAATAAAGAAAATCTAATTTTTAGCTAAGATTGTAATTATTGCAATAATAAATTTCCGGATAAATTTTGTGGTACAGAAGCCATTAAATTAATGCTGCCTTTCTTTGATATAAATTGATGTATACCATATTAAAAAATTGCCAAATTAATAATCCTAAACCCCATAATTCTTCTTCATCTGCATGAAATTTTTACTTCTATTTGTTAATCTCAATTTATTTATGAACAACTTGTTCAATTTCTTCAGAAAATTACAATATCTTTTCAACACCATAAATTTAATTTCCACCTGATAATAAATCAATTATCTTTAATAATGCTAATAAATACCCTATATTGTATCAATACTAAATAATCTAAAATTGTAGATTAAGATTCATCGCCTGACTCTTCAAAATTTCTAATATTTAATTCAACAGATTTTTTGACAAGGAAATCAAATGGATGTATTGCATTAAAAATTGGTTGTATTGTTTTTGGGTATTATTATAAAAAGAATTTCTCTTATCCTACATATATTTCTAAAGCTTCCTACTTTAAACTTATGTTTTCATATATTTTTGCTTTTTTTTCTTTTAAAGCATATAGCTTATAAAAACTAAATGATTTTTCTTATCTAAATGATAAATTAAAATGATCTTACATTAACTACTCTTACTCATATATTTAACTATCTAAAATATCTAATTAACTCTCCAAATATTATTGAATTGATAATTAGAAATGAAATAAAAATTCTCTCATACATTATTCCTTATTCAATTCTTTCTCAGAATCATAGAAAATTATTTTTTAAACTTTCTCCTTCGGAAATTGCTTTACAATCTATAAATCTTAGCAAATTAACTCATGAGTTTACTGGAGGATTTTCTCATTCAATATTATGTAATTTTACATTAACTTTATCATCTACTCTTAATAAACTTGGAAAAAATAAAATGATGCTATTTTTTGCTGGATAATCATCAAAATATTTCATTAATCTTTATCTAGCAGTATTTTTATAACCTTCATATGAGTTAGTGCTTAAAATATAAATATAAATTAATGGCTTGTATGTTATTTAGTTTTTGAATTAAACATTGAGTGTTCCTATCTTGTCTTTAAATTAAAAATTTTTAATTGGAAAATATGGGGCTGTTAATTCTAAAAAATGAGCATATAAGCTATACTAATCCACTACCTATATATCAAGCATTTTATAATTGATTTCAATAAATAATATTTATAATTATTCTATATTTATTTTTCACTTATAATAAACTTATCCATGCATTTTAAAAATAACAAAAAGTTGAAAAAGAATAAATAAATTGAGTAAAAAAATAATAATCTTAAATTTAATTATAACCCAAATAAAGATGTAATATTTACATGTTCTTAACTGAAAAAATTTTGTAATATGTTAGTAATTTATAAATATTTAAACTAATATAATTTAATAAAAACATGTTGATTTTATACTTCATTTATCAATTTGTAAATTGTTATTAGGAAATAACAATTTAAAATACTAAGGGACTAAAATAATTAAATTTAGAATTCTAAAAAGAAGAAACTATAGTTTTTGAAGCGAAATTTAATTAATTTCAAGTAAGCATACTGTTGATTTGTGACTAAGCTCCTGACTTTAAGGAATTTGAGCAGATTTATAATGATGAAAAGTATTATCATTTATATGAAGCTTTGGATGTATAAGCGATTGGAATGCGTTTGATTTTTCTGAAAACTCTTAAAATTTAATGCTAATTCGAAATTCAACTTAGAATCTTAATTCATATTCTCAAAATGTGAAATATACTAATAGGAATTCTATTTATATAGGAATATTTTCCTAAAAGTATGATATCATAACTACATACGTTTATAATAAATAATCTAACGATTGTATAATGTAATTTTCTTAATTATTACATAGGAATTGCAAGTATGATGGAATATGCAAATCAAACAGTTGTCAATGTAAAGAAGGGTATTTTGGTTATGATTGTAAATACTAAGGTTCGAATATTTTAAATGAAGAATATTTAATGAGATTAAACTATTATTATGTAGATTTAGAATAATTCAAGGATTCTAATTTTTCTATAAAGTTTAAAAAGAATGGTAAATATAGTTATTAATGTCTTTCAATAAATCCATATTTAAAATAGACTAATATAGTTGATAGAGATAGTATTTTGATATCAACAGAACAAATTAATAAATGTTTACAATAAGTATAATAATTGGGAGTATCCAAATATTACATTATTTAAGTTTATTAAGAAGACTTGCTTTACATTCTAAAATAGGAAAGTGAAAACTCAAATGATCAAAAAACAATATTAATTGCTATTTTATCTACTTGTCTCTCAATATTATGTTGCATATTCTTTTGTATTTTCCGTTGTTATAAGTCTAACAGGATAATATAAAACGCAAATTTAAATTAAAATAGAATATTAATAAATTTATAAACTAATAAAGCAAATCCTAATTTTACTTAAGAAATAGCTTCATTAATTCCATCAATAGAATATTAAGCTATTTTTAAGAAATATCCTTAAATAAGAGATTATAAAGAATGTGCAATTTGTTTGGATAATTTTAAACAAGAATAGATAGTTCGAGTAACATATTGCTAACATGTTTTTCACATCAAATGTTTAGATGCTTGGATGAAAAAGAATTAAGTAAGAAAGTTGAATATAAAAGAATTGTCCAATATGTAGATCTGTTTAAGATAGAAATACAATTAAGTTATAAGAAAAACTATAAACTGTCATCTCTTAAAATACTGAATTTAACCCAGATACTTTAACTTCAAAGTAACCGATTTCAAGATTATATGGAGAAACTCCGATGTTAACCAATAATCGATCAGTTGGATCTTCAAAACTTATATAGAGTAATATATGATTTATTGTATATTATTGGATTAGATTTTTTGATAAATAATTTAAAATTGAGATGATGACTAATTAATTAATTAGATATAAAATCAATCATTTTATGATTGTTAAGCAGGAGGAGGTTTAAGTTAAGGATCTAACATATGTCCATTTTCAATTTCTCTTTCTTATAATTATTAATGTGAATCAATCCATCTACCCTTTCCAAATTTAAGACCATTTTCAAATATTCCATGAAATTCTGATTTATCTGAATATTTCATTTTACCAGGTCCATTTTTTAATCCATATTTAAATTCTCCTTCATATTCTCTTTTATCTGGCCATTTAAGTGTACCTAATCCATGCATCTAACCATTAAACCATTAACCCTCATAAACAATTTTATTATAATATTTAAGTTCTCCATATCCACTATAAAGATCTTCAACAAAATCACCAGTATAAACACTTCCATCACTATATATAAATTAACCTCTTCCATGTTTATGTCCATTATGAAATTCTCCTGTATAAATAGATCCATCTGGATGTTTCTCAATTCCATAATCATCATCTCCAATAAATATTATTCCATTTGCATATGTATATTAATTACCAACTTATATATCACCATTTGGATAAATTATTCTTCCATCTAATAATGCATCATTTTACCATTCTCCTTAAATTATTGTACCATTTTATAATAATAATATTCCTAATCCATGTTTCTTACCATGAATCCAACATCCTTCATAAATATCACCATTTTCTAATCTAAATGGGGGATATCTTTTAAATTTCTTTTTTACAGTTTTCTTATCAAATTATATTCTATAATCTTCTGCTATCATATCATAAAATTCGGGACATAAAGTTGCATTTTTTGGCCTATCTATTTCATCCAATTTTTTCATTTTCTTCTCATCTTATTGATTCCTAAAAACTTAAAATCCTGATTATATTTTTTATAATCCTCTCTATATAGCATTAAAACGATTGTCATCAATCTCCTCATCTTATGACTGTCTATTACCCATATTTTATTATTTTTATTTATCACAACCAATTTTATTTTATAATTTTGTGTAATATTATTCCTATTTATTTTATTACAATAAAAACTATTTATGAAATTGTTTCTGAATAGAAAATCATTAAGTATATTAATTATAATTTAAGAAATTATAATATAAGTAATATGGTTTGTCTGGTACTAAAAATATCAATTTTTTATTTAATAAATATCTTTATATATATCATTACTTTAAACGTATATCATTATGATGTTTCAAATTTCTTTGAATTGAACTGGCTACTCTTTGTAATTCATCTAAATAGCTAAAATTTAATATCAAATATTACTTTCTTGGTAAAGTTTATAATTCACTTGCTGGAGTCAATTCTAATAAATTTTAGATCTCCACTAATCTTTAAATTGGAACAGAATTGCTTAATTATGTTCTATGAAAATAACAATTCAATTTACCCTCTTTCTGGATAGAATTTTGAGGTTAAAGATCCTGATCTCACTAAACTATCTTAATTATTTCTATTTTAAGGTGATAAAAAAGAATATTTGGATCCAGATTAATCATAATAAGTACTTTTAAAATCTTATGCTCCTGTTGATAAATGAAATTTTCCTGTTTATTCTTGAGTACCAATCTATTGCATTCTAAATATAACTTTATAGTTAACTTCTTTTTTAATCCACTAATTTTTGCTGGGGAAGACTAAGAAACCTATTCAGAATTTTAAGTTGGCTTTCCAAATAAAATATCTAAAGTGCGAAGAGTATTTTAATGTTTTTTAGGGCTATCTCTAGTCTATTAACCACCTTTTGGACTCAAAGGTTTTTATCCCAATTTTTCGAAATGGTTATATTTGTCAATGATGGAAGTTCGTACTTCACTTCTCAATGCATTATAATTTATCTATTTTAAACTATTAATAATACCTCTTTATTTGCAAGGGAGCTAGTATAAGAAGAAGGTTTTTCAGATATATCTGTCACATGAAATATCGACATTAAAATTTATTTATATTATATATATTTTATTTCAATATAATTTTAATTAATACTTATTTCCATAAGATTTACTTAAAAATAAATTTATAATAACATAATCATAATTTAATAAAAATTGATATTCAAGTGAGAACTTCTTAATACATCATTTTATAGAAATCATTCTTTATTATTAATACATTTTAAATCATTTTTATTGTTCATTGTAGAATTAAACCTTGTTGAATACTTTTTATTTAAGCTAAGTTTTGAAATGAATTTTGAATTAATAATTCATAATTTTGATGAAAAGATTCCTTAAGTTAAATTTGGACATTGACAAAAAGATTTCTTACGAATAATCTCATAGAAAGTGTTTTTTTTAAAGAGATTACGTTAAAATGGAATGGATGAACTCAAAATTATCAAAAATACAGTCAGAATTTGACATTGTTTAAATGGTCATTATGTAAAATAAAAAGAATACCAAAAAGGCATATACAATTATGATGCATGAGAATATCATAATTAAATAAAAGAAAGACGTATATCATTATATTATTTTAGGGTTCTTTGTGTTGGATTGATTATGAAAATTCCATCTTAAGTTTTATTAAAGACCCAGAATTTGGTGAAGGCATCAAGTTATAAAAATGTTTTGATGAGATAGAAATTTATGGAGAATTAGAAAAAATGTTACCATTAATTAAGAGATACACAATCTAATTAGAATTCACTTAATAATATCAATTTTTAACGAAGATTAATTCTTATGATAAAACTGAGGTTAACAATTTATTTTATAATAAATAGGTCTTTAGAATAAGGTCTAAAAAAGATAGAAATGATTATTAGTGTAAAATATTTTATAAAAAACTGCTCAATCTCACTATGGAAAAATAAATTGAAAAAGAAATATATATTGTAAGAAGAATCAATGAGGAATACATACAAAAATATTTTGAAACTTTTGAAAATTAAGAATAAATAATAATAGTAGAAGAATTAATCATAGGTGGCAATTTTGATTCTTATTTATAAAAATGGCCATTATTGTCTGAGGAAAAAGCATCCAAATTTTTTTTTAAATTATTTAAAAGTCTTGCGTATCTACATTCAAAAGGGATAATGCATAGAGATTTAAAGCCAGAAAATATTGGATTAAGATTAAATGGTAACCTTGAAAATCCTTGTATTTGTTATTTCGGATTAGCAGACTTAGTAAGTTTAGAAAATGATTCTGATGAAGAAAATGAGACCCCAAGATATTTATTTTAAAGATGTGGTACTCCAGGATATGTAGCTCCAGAAATTTTAAAGAATTAATAATATGATTGCAAAGTGGATATATATAGTTTAGGAATAATGATGTATTATTCTTTAACAGGAAAAAAACCTTTCGATTCAGATGACTATTAATAATTATTAGAGAAGAATGAAGAAGGATATGTTGATATTTCAATTTTAAAATTAAGTAAAGAAGGATTATAACTCATTGAAAATATTCTCAAAATTGATCCAGATGAAAGAATATCAGCTTAAGTTGCATTAAATCATTTTTGGTTTAAAACAGAAAAGCTTTCAAAGTTAATGGAGTTTAAAGCTCATAAAAATATAGAAAAAATTTAATTTAAAAGTCTTTAATTTCGTAAAAGTTAATAAAACTCTCCAAAACTATAACCAATAGTTCTTTCTAAATAAAATATTGATTAAGCTTGTAGTAGTCCTTCATCACGTTAATTTTCTAATGTTAAAAGAAACTCTACTAATCATAATCATAATCATCATTCAATTTTTCGTATTACTACATTGAATGGCAGTTTTAGTCCTAAAGAAGGTTCTTCATTTTCTTAATCCATTTATCAAAATGGAAAACAAAGCGATATATCACCATCAATATTTGCAAAAAGTTAGAGACCTTAAAAATCAATAATCCATTTAATGCCAAATATATTCCCATAAAAAATAGAATAGAAATGAAAAAAATTCAACAATAAATTGAATATATTTTTCGTTATTTTATAAATGGATTTTCTTAAAGAATTTATAAAAGAATATTTTGAAAGTAAATAATTAGATATCATTTTATAATCACTCAATTCTGTTTGTTTATGAATCGCATTAAGATTTTCTAGTTTAAAAATATTTAGATTTTGGTCGAAAAATATTAACTAAATAATTAATAAATTATTACTTTCTGGCAATACAGTATTTTATTTAAGTTATCTTGGAAATTGTCTATCACTATCAATAGAGGAAGGTGATTATGATTAGTTAAGACTATTTCCAGAATCATGAGAGAATCTACTTGAACTATGTTATTTATTCTCACTTCTTGGAGTTCTGATTTAAGATGGTTTCCTATTATCTTTAATTTTGAATGACAGGATCTTTGGAATTTTATTATAAAAAAATTAGTGTTTCAAAGCTTCTTTACAATTTAATCTTTTTGTGTAATCTGCATTTAAGCATTTTGTTATTAGGTCCATTAAAACCTAAGAACATTTTATTTGGGTAAAGTCTATTTTACCATAATAGTTTTTTTGTATCATTTTGTTTTTATCTTAATCTTCAAAAGGATGCTTTAAAGTTACCAAAATATAAATTATTATTCCTAAACTATAAACATCAATATTTAAGAAATATCTTTTATCTTATAAAACTTCAGGAGCAACATAACCAATGCTTCCACATCTAGTAAATAGATATTTGCCATTTTAATTCCAATAATCTGCTAAACTAAAATCAATTAAGCAAGGTTATGTATTATCAAGTGACATTCTATACATAATATTTTAAGGTTTAATATCTCTATGAAAAATGTTATTATCATGCAAGTTTGAAACACATTCAAATAGNATAAAATATTGATTAAGCTTGTAGTAGTCCTTCATCACGTTAATTTTCTAATGTTAAAAGAAACTCTACTAATCATAATCATAATCATCATTCAATTTTTCGTATTACTACATTGAATGGCAGTTTTAGTCCTAAAGAAGGTTCTTCATTTTCTTAATCCATTTATCAAAATGGAAAACAAAGCGATATATCACCATCAATATTTGCAAAAAGTTAGAGACCTTAAAAATCAATAATCCATTTAATGCCAAATATATTCCCATAAAAAATAGAATAGAAATGAAAAAAATTCAACAATAAATTGAATATATTTTTCGTTATTTTATAAATGGATTTTCTTAAAGAATTTATAAAAGAATATTTTGAAAGTAAATAATTAGATATCATTTTATAATCACTCAATTCTGTTTGTTTATGAATCGCATTAAGATTTTCTAGTTTAAAAATATTTAGATTTTGGTCGAAAAATATTAACTAAATAATTAATAAATTATTACTTTCTGGCAATACAGTATTTTATTTAAGTTATCTTGGAAATTGTCTATCACTATCAATAGAGGAAGGTGATTATGATTAGTTAAGACTATTTCCAGAATCATGAGAGAATCTACTTGAACTATGTTATTTATTCTCACTTCTTGGAGTTCTGATTTAAGATGGTTTCCTATTATCTTTAATTTTGAATGACAGGATCTTTGGAATTTTATTATAAAAAAATTAGTGTTTCAAAGCTTCTTTACAATTTAATCTTTTTGTGTAATCTGCATTTAAGCATTTTGTTATTAGGTCCATTAAAACCTAAGAACATTTTATTTGGGTAAAGTCTATTTTACCATAATAGTTTTTTTGTATCATTTTGTTTTTATCTTAATCTTCAAAAGGATGCTTTAAAGTTACCAAAATATAAATTATTATTCCTAAACTATAAACATCAATATTTAAGAAATATCTTTTATCTTATAAAACTTCAGGAGCAACATAACCAATGCTTCCACATCTAGTAAATAGATATTTGCCATTTTAATTCCAATAATCTGCTAAACTAAAATCAATTAAGCAAGGTTATGTATTATCAAGTGACATTCTATACATAATATTTTAAGGTTTAATATCTCTATGAAAAATGTTATTATCATGCAAGTTTGAAACACATTCAAATAGTGGTTTCATTATTTATCTTATTTAATTTTCATCAACAGGCTAATGCTTCTCTAAAATAGTTTATAAACTTTCGCCTTTTAATTCTTCTAAAATTAAGAATATCAATTCATCATCTTCAAAAATTTCAATTAAATTTGAAATATGGTGATGATTGACAGTTCTTAAAATTTAAACTTCTTTTTTTAAGCTCTGCTTTTATTCTTCAGAAATCAAATTCTGTTTCTCATATATTTTTGCAACATGAACAACTCTAGAATCTAATGAAGATTCTAATTTGAGAAACTATTGAATAGTTAACTTAAATACTGTGGCATTGCTTCCATAATAAATTGTTTAAGTTATTTTGTATCTTCCTGGTATCTCTCTTTAAATACAATATTTTCTCACATACTCATATAATTACTAAGGGCTTTAATATATCTCTAAAGATGTTCCAGATTTTAGAAATTTCAAACCTTCAATTTTATTATTATTGTCAACAATTAATAACAATGTAGCATTTAAAATATTTATATATTTCTATAATAACAGTCATATATTATACTTTACTGGAATATAAGAGGATATGCTATGAAAATTATAATAATTTGTTTTTCAATTTGCCGTCTTTTTAAATCAAATATTCTCCACTGAAATCTATAGACTCAAGTCCCTCAATGGGTTTGATGTAAAATTTGGAATGATCATCCAAAAAAGTGGAATAATTTTATCTTAACTTAAGATGTTTAGTAATTTTTATCATTTTTTGTTGTATTAATCTTAAAATAATAATGTTTTAATTCTAAATTTATATATTCAAGCTTAATCATAATTTATATATAATTAAACCTAGAAATACTTAGAATTAAAATTGATATTTAAGTCTAATAAATATATAATTTTTGAATATATATGAATAATTATTAAGAAAAAATTGGTTTATTTAGCATCAATACTATTAGTCCAAAAGAATGGCAATTAAATGCTGATTTAGATATAGAACTTTAGGCTAAACCAATAGAAACAGATAATCTTGATCTTCTTTTAAGTCCTTTGACTAAAGTTTCAAATCAAGCCAAATTATTTTTGGATTATGAAAAAAAATCACGTGTTAGTTAAATTTCAATGTTAGGAAATAATATGATGGCTTACTTTAATCTTAAAAAATTTTTGTAAAAACTTAGTAGAAATAGAGAGAATTTCAAAAAGTTAACTTAAAAACATTTAGATGTTATAAATGATTAAGCATCTGATTAAACAGTATTGTTGAATAGTAACAAACATAAACCAAAGTTAAAAATCTTTGATTTTCCAACATTGTTATCTTAATTATCAAAAAAAAACTCATTACTGACAACTTGGAAGAGAAGCATGCTTGAAAATCTAAATAAAATTCCTTTAATTCATCCAGAATCTACCAAAAAATTAATATGGGATTATTTCATGACAACATTACGAATAATTTTAATGATTTTGCTTCCTTTAGAAATAGCATTTTAACCAGGGATTGTATTTGATGCAGCATCAATATTTACTTCAGTAATGATTCTATTAACAATATTGGATATGATATTACGTTTGAATACTGTTTATTATGAAGATGGTAAAGCAATTAATGATAAATGGAAGATATTTGAATTAAAAATCTAAGAATGTATCATATTTGATTTGATAGCAATATTTTCATTAACAATAAATTTTGGACTAGTTTTAAGGAGTATTTTGCCATCATACAGTTTATAATTTAAATATGTTTATGAAGTAATAAATAAAAGTTAAGAATCCTCCTATTTAAGTAAACCAATTTAAGGTTTAATGAAATTAATATGGTTTATATTAACTCTATTAACAATTTTACATATTTTTAGTTGTATTTGGTTTTTAATAAGTAAGAATACAATTGGTGATAATTGGGTGAAGCATAAGGAAATAGAACAAAGTGAATGGGCAACATAATATATTGAAGCTTTATATTTTTCAACTGTAACTATGCTTACAATAGGTTATGGAGACAGTGTACCTTAAAATTAAATTGAGAAATTAGTTTCAATATTATTCATTTTAATAGCATGTTTATGGTACTCTTATGCCGTAAATACAATAGGATAGATTATTAATGAATTGACATATAATTCAGAAAAACGAAGATAAAGAATTAGAGTAATTAATGGTTATATGAGTAAGAGAAAGTTTCCTTATTCTTTATAATTTAAAATAAGAGAATATCTTAATTATAGATGGAAAGAAGAATAAGAAAGCGATATTACTTAAGAGGATAAACTTATAAATGAATTATCAAATGATCTTAAATAAGAACTTGAATTATTAGGTCGTAAGAATTTTATTGAAAAAAGTTAACTTTTATAACATTTTTCTAATGAATTCAAACGATCTGTTAGTCTTCATATAAAAAGAATAATTATTCAACCTCATAATACTTTTTAAATGAGAAAAGATCCTTGGTTATGTTATTTAGAATCTGGATAATTACAATTCTTAATGACAGAAATAAAAGAAGGTTAATTTTTATAAGAGTATGAATTTATAAATGATTCATAAACTTCAATTCCTTATAAGGCTATTGGTTATGTATCCTTATTAATCATCTAAAAAGATATTTTTACTAAGATTTTAAAAGCTCATCAAACTGATCATGAGAAATTTTCTCATTTGAAAATGAAATTAAGTAGTGATTAATATGGACACCTATATGAATGTAAATGGTGTAGTACACATGGTCATTCAACAAATTGTTGTCCTTTAGTCTCATATAGATATGATAAAGAGATAATAATTAAGAAACATTGTTTTCCTAAGTAAAATGATAGAGTTTTTATTATACGAAATCGTATTAAAAATTATTTCAAATCTCTTACTGAAATGGAAATGATTTAAGAATATGTTGCATTTTTCTAGAGTGAAAAGCAACAAGTAATTTAAGATCAACTTAAAAAATAGTTATCTGATAGCCAAATTAATTTACAAATGTAAAGGAAATAATCTGGCTTTGAAGATGAATTTTAAGAATTTGGAATTAAACGTAAATCTATTCATGATAACAATGGTAGATCACCTATTCAAAAATTAGGAAACTCTAATTTTGGACAATCAAATTTCTAATTTTTAGGAGTTATTAAACTTAAACAATCCGAATTGGAAAAGTCTTTTATGTTAAAGACTATCTAACCTAATATGATTGAGGAAGAATAAATACAAAATATTAATGCTCTATACTTAAAATCAAAAAAAGAAGGTTAAGTAGATTAAGATTTAGAAATGCTCTATCTAAAATATAATTGTCATCCTACTAAAGATTTTGATCATATTAAAAGTTATTAGCATTATTTACCAGAATTTAATGTTGAATAAGTAATAAAAAAGAAAAGAGAAATTTACAAAAGCTATTTTAAAGAACTAATTAGGTATATGTTTTATCCTTTCTTATATGTCCTCAAATTTAATAAAATAGCACAAAAACGAAAATTAACAGGAAACTTTTAATAATTTGTAGATATTACGAAATTCAAAAAAGCTCTTCTTAATAAGAAAAGAAGATAAACTTCTGTGTTTCCTAATGGATAACCTTTGATTCAAAACTGAATAATATTTGGCACATATTTATTTCATATCTATTATATGCTCTCTAATAATTAAATAATTTAGTATTTCTTACATTCTTTCTCATTTGTTTAATTTAAGTAAAATTACGAGAAGATTTTGAGTTCTATAAGTCAAATTTTTATTTAAGAATTGTTTTTATGTCTTAATATTCTTGTTTATATTAAAATTCTAATATAATAATTAATTAATAATCAGATTGAGTACATGCCAGTAAAAATATTCTTTAATTTGTTCCAATCATTTACTCAACTTCATTGATTTAGAATATAAAGTAAAATTAAACAGATATTAATAGGGAAAAGAAAAAGAGGAAATAATGTAAATTTATCAAATTTATAAAGTTGGAGGTCATCTAACATGTTTATAAATTTAACTAATTTATGAGTGAGAATTGACTAAAATAATGAGCCAAAGAAAAGCTAATATGTTTTGATCTCAGATTTGTCTTATGAAAAGAATTTATTTTATAATTTGATACTAAGTTTATAATTTTAAGATCTAGGAAGGTTTATAAGTTTAAGATAGTTTATTATTAAAAAAATAAATTAAATATTCGTAAAATATGATAAGCTGCTCATCACCTATTCTACCAAAAACTTGGAATAATTCTAACTAACTAATGCTAAGTTTAATTGCTCCCCCTGAAAACCTTAGTCCAGAATATTTTAGTTCACTATTAAACCAGTAAGAATTTATCTTATAAAAGGTATGGACCTGTGTAATAAGTAAAAATTTTAAATAAATCCTTAATGGATTTTAAAGTATTTGTAGAAATGGGTAATTCAGAGGCAGCAAAGTTAGCAAAACAATTTCTTGATTAACTTTCTTCGAATTTTGTTAAATGTTCATATTATCATGAAGATAAACTCATTTCATCTGAATCATCTAAAAATTACTCGTTTGACTCCTTAGGTGATTCAACTATTAGCCCATAAAAATACTAGCATCAGACTTCGTTAATTGAAAGTATATATTTATTCCATATATTAGGAGACTTAAAAAAAGACAATTAATAGCCTACTTGTATGAAAACATTGTCTATAAATTAAAAACCAACTAAATCTCCCTAATAATTGTAATCCACTAAGACTTTATGTATAAGTGGAATTAAAGGAAAATAATTAGATGCTAAAAAATTGTATAATATCTTTAGTAATTTCGGAAATATTGATAAAATCTTACTTATAAAGTAAAAATAATTAATTATTCAATAACTAGAATAAAAAATTTCGCTTTTGTAAAATATCTTAAAAATGATAATGCCATGTTCGTTTTCTAGAATTGTTAAAAATTAGAATTCTTTGATAGCATGATTTCAATTTCTTTTACTTCAGAAGATTCAATAGATAAACTAATTGGTCTTGATACTCTTTATTAAGAATCAGACTATTATATAGGTTCTGAAGAATCAGATAGGTATCAATATTGCATATTTGATAGATTTAATTGTAATAATAAAATGATTCTTTTACCACCAAGTCAAATATTGCACATCTCAAATCTTAAAAAGGTTTCTTCAAATGCTGAAACTATGTGGGATGTATTCTCTGAATTTGGTGTTGTTTAAGTATTTAATTATCTAATTATTAGGCTGTAAAAGTATTAAATACATAATTCAAATTCATGTGTTTAGTAAAGATGGAAACTCTTAAGCAAGCTTTAGAAGTTATAGCTCTAATGCACGATTAAGAGATTGATGAGAGAAATGTATAAATCTCATTCACAAAAACAAAAATTTGATCATAATGAAAAAATAATTATTTTTATATAATAAATTATAAAAAATTATAATTCTATAAATTTTTATAAAAAAAATAGAGATTTATCATTTTAATATAAAAATTATAAAGCATTATGTAATATAAATTTATTTTGTTAATTATTATAATGCAAGATGATTTGTAAAGTAATTAAATAAAATATGCTGACGTATGATTTTGCCATATATATGTTAGAATCTAAATCTTTTACTTTAAATAATTCTAAGTTTTAATGAATAACTTCCAACTCTTTGACAGCAGCCTCATTCTTTAACAACAACTTCTTATCTAACAGATGTTTATTTACAATCAAATGCTTGCTTAAAAGTAATATATTGCCTCTAACCTTTACTTTAGAACTAAAATGATATCCAAACCTTTACAAGAACCTTTAAGATAAAAAGCAACTGATGAAAATGAATCCTCTTCTCCATCAATTTCAAAATTAGAAGAAACTCATTAAGTTAAACCTATGTCCTTAAAATCAAACAAAAAATTAGAAAAATTAACTCAAATCAAGAAGCCCAAGAGATTAGATGATAATAATGTTGAGAATAAAGAACCTTCTTAAAAGAAAAAAATATTTTTATCAATGCTTGATATCAAAGAAGCACAATATAAAAAGTATTTCAATCATTTATCAATTTAGATTCAAAGTTATCGAGATAGATCAACAAAAGAAGGCTGTAATTTCTTCTCAAGATGAACAATGATTATACTTTTTAAAATGTTGTATATTATAACAATATATATTATCTCAATATTATTCGTTATTCTATAATTCAAAACTCATCATTATATGAATCAATATCATTTAGAGAATTTGAATAAAAAAAATGATTACAATTTTCAACTATATTCATTAATTTATACTCAATTTATTCTATCTATCTTTTTGCCAAATGATACTTCATTTTGCTTAGATATTTTCAAATAATATTGATATTAAATTATACAATACAATATAGATTACAATAATGGCAATAATAAAATCATTTGATTTCTCTTCATTTTGAGTCTATATTATGAAATTCATTTTATTACCACATTTATATTTATTAGAGATGATAAATCTTATTCTTGGAAGGAATTTAAATTTCATTTATACTGATATAGTTTTTAGCCACATTTAATCCTCTACTTCAATCCCTAATATAAAATTCTAGTTTTTTACAGATAGAATTCTGAAATTTAAAAGACCAAAATGTAAAAATTTATGACTTAAAAAAATCAAATTTGAGAATATTTTTAAAGTTTATAAACTTAAAATAATTTTTATAAATGTTTATTGTTACTTAAATTTTTGATGAACCAGAGGATGATTAAGAAAGCAAAGAAGCAAAATAAATTGTATCTGTACTTTTAAGATTCTCCTATTATGCATTTCAATTATTTGTCATTTATGAATCAGCTTATATAATAATCTTTGAGATTGGTAAAATTGTATATACTTTTTACTTTGCTTTTTTGTACTTTTTTCTTTTAAAATCATTTTATTTGTCAATCAGTAAGAAAAGCTAAACAAATGTAGACATGATTGAAGAATAAAATTTATGTAAAAAATGCAAAATACATAGAGGTTAATTTAATGAATATATATAGAAATAACAACACATCACTGTAAAATATGTTAGAGTTGTATATTAGAAATGGATCATCATTGTTTTTTTATTGGTAATTGTGTAGGAAAAAATAACTATAAATATTTTATAAGTTTTATTTGTTATACTAATATTCTTGCTTTGAGCGTATTACTTTATTTAGGAAATCAATTTTATTACTTGATAACATTTTAATTAAGATTGTTAACAGTAAATTGGTTTAGATTGATAATTGTGTACATTTTTACTACATTACTTTTTTTATCAGCAATTTCAATGTTAATAGCTTAAGCTTATGTGCTAGCTAATAACAGTTCAATTGTTCATATGGTAAAATATCCTGATTTAAAGAAATATACTTATTGTTAATTTATTCTCAGCATATTTAAAAAATCTTTATATATAGACATATATAATTCATGGAAATAAAGAAGTGATTAATATTATTTATTATTACCATGAAATATTTTTAATCATAATCAATCATAAATTCTCAACTTCCTCTAATTATTACTTTTTTAAGCATTTCTCTTAATATTCTTTAACTTTTTATATTTTAATATCATATTTTTCTTTTCTTTTTCCTTTTAAATTTTATATGGCCCCTTCTACAGTGACTCCAGATTTTTAAAATATAAGTGATTTTTTTTCATCAGTTTTATTTTTAATTTCTGGAACAGGAACCTTAAGTAAAGCTGCTCCCATGGAATAAAAATGTAAATATTCAATATATTTCTTAGAAAGTGTTTCTCTCAAATTTTCATAAACTCCTTAAATAAATTGAGTATGACTTTCTAAATTAGGTTTCCATAATTCCTATTTAAACTCACAATTATATAAAACTAAAGGATAATCTGGAGCCATTTAATAATTTGGTTTACCATCTAATTTATTAAATAATTCATTTATCACATCAGATTTTTCAATTCCTTTACCTATTAAAAAAAGGACTGCCATCAAATATCTAATTTGATGCCATAAAAAAGCATTTCCTTCAATAGTAACACAGTATAATCTTAATCTATCATCATCTTAAAATAATTTGCTACATCTAGGAGCATTATCTGGAAATACTTCTTCCATTTAAATATTCATAATTGTTCTTACAAAATTTTAGTTTGCAATAACATCTAATTTACAAAAATTCCTAAAATCATGTTCACCTAAATATAATAACATTGCTTATGACATTAATTCAATGTTATAATCCATCTTATAAAAGTAATATTTATATATTCTTTTAATACAATCATAACGAGCATTAAATTTTTCATCAACAATACATTCATCTAAAATTTATATATCCTCTGGTAATACTCTATTTAAAATTTATCCAAATAGTTTATCAGATTTACCTATTTTTCTTACATTCAAAGCAATTACATTTCCAATTGCACTTACACCTTTATCAGTCCTTCCTGCTCTTGTATAATTACAATCATCTCGATTATCAATCATTCTTACTCTCTATAAGGCTTTAAATAGATGATTTTCAATAGTATTATGTTAATTTATTTAAGATTCTAAACCATGATAATTTATTCCAACATAAGCTAATTTAAAAGCAACTCTTGTGAATTATTAATCAAGACTTTTTATTTTTCTATCCTTCACTTTTTTATTGCTTTATTATTTTTCTTTATATTCAGCTTCTAACTTCTCCACAAATTCCTATTCTCCCACTTCAATCAATCTTTTTTTTAATCTATGCAAAAACATTCAATAAGAAAGAATTTATTTGATTTTAAATTAATTTTATTATTATACCAATTCTTCAAAATTTAAATTATGAATAAAAAATCAAATCTGTAGATTACTGAGTTCAAATTCAGGCTCACTAAAATAAGGCTAAAATTAATCTTAATCTGAAATATCTAAAGCTTATGTTATTGATCTAATTTCATCTTTGATTTTCTTACACTTCTCATACCATTTCCCTAAAATTAATTTACAAATATTACTTTCATATTCTTAAAGTTTTTTATCTTAAAAAATATCTTCAGATGTTATATTTTCTATTTCATGAAAAACCTATATTTCACATTTCACTACTTTAAAATATTATTATGAATTTTCTGCCATTTATGATAAATTTAAACTTCCTTAAAATACTTTACTTTCTTAAACTGATTATTAAAATTCTTAATTAACATTTATTGTCATTTTTGTTAATTTTATATATAATGTTTTTAAATACTTAATTTTTATGGCGTCATGTTTATTTACTTTTATTTCTTATTTAATCCTTTTCTTATTTTTCTTTTATAGATCTTCATCATTTAAATATTAAAATTCCTTTAATTTTTCAATTCTTTGTGCAGATAAGTATTTAAGTGCCTTTCTTTTCATTTTTTCAGAATAAATCGTCATTAAAAATTCTTTAGATAATTCATCCTCATCTAATAAGATTGGCCAATTCTTAAATTATTTGCAAAGAGTTTTATATCCAGCTTGAGAACAATATTAAAATAATTTTTTCTAATCATTAACTGTTTTTGTTATTTCTAATAGTTCTCTAGTCCATTCATCAGAAAATACTAAACTTATAATTATAATTACTAAAACTTCCATCATTCTTTAAAAATGATATACCAATTTATTGTTGATTTTTTTCTATTAATTCTTCAATAAAAGCATTTAAATTGTAATTTTATTCCAAAATTTTTGTTTGTATTCTAAAGTTTATATTAAGTAAGAAGTCCTTTTTTTCTTAACTCTCCTGAGATTTAATAAGTATATGAATTAAAGATTCTAGGCTGATTAATTGTTGTTTATCTTGTATATATTCTAATTTATCTTCGAATTATTTGATATTGTCTTTTTTGTAAAATACAGAATTATCATTTATAAGTTTCATTATATTTTAGACTGCATCAATAAAACTAGTTTCAGCTAATTACAACATTTTAATTTGAATATTGTAGAATAGTTAATTTAATATAATTTAATGAATAATTATTTCTTGAACTATCTAATTATTTAATATCATTTGCTGTGCACTGTTTTAGTCTAAAATTTCTTTATTATATTTTCACATTTTAATTAATTAAAAGTAGTCTATTATTTCTAACTGACAATGATTCATTATTTCTAGTTTTTTTTCGCTAAACATCTTAAATCATTTTATTTAGTCTATTCAACTTTAGAATTCAACTTTTTAATGTTGAGAAATTCTAGTTTAATTTTTCTGATATAATTTTTCCTCATTCAAAAAAGAACATCCTTGAATATTTTATCTTTTTTATTATCAATAAAAAACTAGAGCCCAATTATAAAATAGGATATCGGAGTTCATTTAGGAAATTAGAAAAGAATTATAATTAGATGACATGTAAAATTTCTATCTAAATACTAACAGTAGAATAGAAGACTTATTAGATAGAAATGAATAATGATATTGTATAAGATTATTGTGAAAAAACTTGTTAAAATAATAAATAAAATATATTAGAAGGTGAATTAATAAATTTTATTTAAAAAATATATTAAGTTTAATAAAATTATAAGTATGAATTAATTTTCAGATTAATCTCTGTTCTAGTGTAAAACTGGTTAATAAAATGAAATCTATAAACAATTTGATGCATGAAATATATGGGATTTCACTAGAATTCTATAATGAAATTAAGATAACATCAATAATAATTGAGATAAAATTTGTAATAATGTGACTATATTTATCTATTTATCTGATAAGTGAATAATTTGTATATTATTAGGGATTTTGTTTACTTAAGAATTTTAATTTAATTAATGGAAGTCTACCCCAAGTACCTGATGTGATAAATGATAAAAAAGGATTATTCATACTGTTATAAGTTTAAGAGTAATATATATTATTAATGCTGAAAAGAATTGAAGCTAATATAAATTCTATTTAAACTTAGTTAATATAAGCATACAATAATAAAACACCATTGCTTATTGTTTATAAAAAAGAAAATGTCAGTATAGATGTAAGAATAATTTATGGTATAATTGGTAATTTAGGAGGTAAAACTAAAGATGTTACTTAATAACAAATTAAAAGACCCACTAATACCAATAATGCAGTTGAAGCCACACCAATATAAGGTGCATTTTGAATTTGAATGCAATTCAGATTAGAATCAATATAAAATCCAGGAGAACATTCATTACAGGTTGAATTATTATCACATTTTACACAATTATTAATACATTATTTAAGTACGCACATAGTACCAGATAGATAATAATTTTATTAGCAAGAAAGACATCCATTAATATCACAAGTTTTGCATTCAGAATTACATTTTAAGCATTTTTTATCTTTCTCATAATAATCTTAAGGACAATTCTTAATACATTAATTCATAAATGAAATACCAAAATCTTCTTTACATTTATCACATATATCTGTAGAATTGCAAATTGAACATCCTTCAATTTTACATAGACATTAATCATTTATTAAATTATATTGTTTTTAACATTCTAAACATCCTTATGAATTACATGAACTACATCCTAATGAACAAATTATGCATTCTTAATTTTCATTATTATAATATCCAGATGGACATGAATCTAAACAATTTGTTTTATATTTATATTTTTCTGGGTTACATTAAACACAATTTAGTTGTTAATTTTTAATTTAGCAGACTGCACAATTTTCAACTTAACAGTCATTTTAAAGTCTACATTATTTTTGATATAATTCAAATGGTGCTATACATTAAACACAATCTTGAGTTTAATCAGAGAAAAATTAACACTGCTAACAATTGTCTATATAGCATATTTATTAACAATTATTATTATTCTTCAATTCATAATTTGTTTTACATTACAAACATTCTGATTTATTGCACATTTAACAGTTTTCTTAAGGACATTGAAAACAATTATTATCTTCTTAATAAGTTATATTTGGACATTTTAATAAACAATTGTCTTGATATGTTAAATATGGACTAGGACAATTTTCATTTGTCACACTTAACATTATTTTTTCATTACTTTGATGGGTTATTTGATTATTATATATAAGAGATACTTAAACAATTTCATTGTTTTTTAAAGAACATGTAGAATAATGAATGATATCTATTTTACCTTATGAAACACAGTTATTATTAAAAAACTTAAATCTAATGATTGATTAACTTGCATATGGTACAATAGTTGATAATTCATAGTTTAATTTTACATAGTCTTAAGCTGAAGCACTTACAGTCATTGTATTGATATTAAGTGAAGAAGGATAAAGTTACAAATTACTTGATTGCTCCAAATTTTAAGATCCTCTAAGTAATTTAAAAACTATTTAATCGTTTTTTGAATATACATATTCTTTAAATTAAATTTATGATATTTAAATTTGATAAACATTATTTTTTTCACAACCCTATTCACATATATTAAATGTTAATTAATTATTTTCATACTTACTATTAATTTCATTATTATTAAATTTAATCTTACAATTATTGAAATCCACTTAATTATTTATATTTGTAAATTATAATTAATTCTAATATTTATTATTCAAAGGGGAAGAGAATGAAACATCGAATTCTAATATAGCATCTTTACTGTAAAATGAATTTTAACTCCAATTAATATTTTTTACATCTAATAAATACTAATATTCTAATTAAAAACTTGTACATGTTGATATTTATTCATATTCTGTTTATATATTTACGCATATTTTTTCTAATTAATTAAATTGATCAGCATTAAGTACATTTTTAAGAATTAATTAAATCTATGTCTAATCACATAATGTACATTAATCCCTTAATAATTTTTAGCAATTAACAAGAGTATTATTTAAATAACATAGTGAGGATCCTGTAATTGTTGTTTATGTCATTTCTAATTCTAAAATTGTTAAATATTTTAATTCTGAAGGTAATTGTATATTAATATTAACATCAGTTGAAGTAGATATTAATGTGGAACCCTTAGTGAATTATTAAATAATTAATTATTAATTTGAACATTAGGAACCTTAGCACATCAATTCTGGAGTGAGAAATTTAGTGCTCTAATAACTTACAGTTTGACCATCTGTTGATAATTCAATGATATATTAAATTTATGATTAGGGGACTATATTTGCATTCTATAAGCCTAATAAATTAAAATTAATCTAGCTATTCATGTTTGAGTTATCAAATTATAATGATAAAATTAAAAACTTAGAATCAGTTTTAACTTGTGAGTTTTATATAGATTTCTCATTATAATGGAATGATGGATCATTTACAATTTCAACTAGAGGCAATTTTATTGTTACAAATTTAGAAATTTCTTGATTAAATTAAATATTTAAATCTGTGTTTTAATTTAAGATTCTAACTGATCTTGTAATACTTGATTCAAAATTTGATATTGGAAACATTAATAATGAATTACAATTAACCTATGCTATTGAATCAAGTAATTAATTTCCAGCATATGATGATATGGATATTTAACATTAATTATTTGCTTTAAGCCATTTTATTGAATTTATATTAGATAATTTAATTGTATTAGTTGCTTTTAAATCTTAATTCTAACATATTAGTTGATATTTTGATTAATCAATGGTGCATGATATCTAATTATTATTCAAAGTAATAATAATATTATTATTCGATATGAAAGGTAGATGTTCTGGGTTGAATTCAATAATAAGAATAGAATTAGAATAAGGTGTATCATTTGTAAAACTTATAGTAATTACATTTTATTAGTTTAATTGTTGAGCACTTTATGAAATTGAATTAATAGTAATCTTACCTGATTCTACTGTAGGAAATGATATAGATTAATTTTCTTCATAAATATTATTTAATTCATCCAAAAGATATAATTTAGCAATACTATTTGAAGACTAAAGAGGATTGTGAAATCCAGTAATCTTAAAGCTCAATTATTAATTACTTTAACAAGGACATTAATCTTCCTTGAATTTAATACTTAGATAACCATTTTCTGATTAGTCTTATTAAGCAGCTAAAATTTTATCACCTTATTAAATTGTAATTGAATCAGCAACATATTAATCTGTAGGTATTTTTATTAAATAAATTAAATTTTTAACTTAATTTATTAAAGTAATCGTAATTATAAACTAAGAATCCTAATTAATTTTTTTAACAGATCTTTCAATTTCAACTTTTAATTCATTTGGTTAATTGACTGAATAGCTTTATATACTTTAAATTGATACTACATTATTATAATAATATTATAATAAAAAATTACTCGTAATTGCAGTTGAATAAGGATTTCTGATTTAATTCAATGTGATTGTTAAATCTTAGTCTAATTAATAAGGATTAATTTCAGAAAAAATGGAAATTTTATTTGAGTTAATAACACATTCTAAAGTATTTGTATTTATTGTTACTAAACAACTACTCAAATTATCAATTCCAATATCATTTGGCAATATCAATTCAAGAAAAGAATTTCTTTTTTTAATATCTAGAGGATATTTAAGTTTATGTTTAATAGTATATTATGTCAATTTTCCAGTAATTTGAGAATCAGATTAAATATTTAGTTAAGTCAATTAAACAACTTTATTAATGATTTAAGTATTTCCCAATTCATTATGACCTGATGAAACTAATTAATTGCTTAAAGTATAAATTTAAACAGTAATTTGATGAGTAAACTATCCTGAGTTTAATTCAGATCTCATTCCAGCTAAGATAATTTCAATAATATTATTTCCATTATATACAATATTTGGAATCTTTATTTTAGAAATATAATTAATTTTTGGATCAATTTATTAAACATAAGATAATATTTCACAATTCTTGGGGTAAGAATTGGTTTCAATAATTTATGTACATGTAATAGTTTCATCAGGATTTAAATAATAATAACCATTTAAATCAATAATAGCATTTCCATCATTTTCGATAATGTATGAAGATGTAATTTAAAATTATAGATATATTTATGTAATAGATCCAATATCTAAAATAGATTATTCATTTAATTTATCATTGTTTCTATAATAAACAATAGATAAAATTGAATTTGGAGTAAGCAATGGTGTAATTTCAACATTCTTTAATTAATCAATTAGATAATTAGTATCATCTTAAGTCTCAACTTCAAAATCTGATGTTGTAGTAATAACAAAATTGGGATTGTTTAAATATTATAAAATTACGGTTGTAATTGTGTATGCAGCTAGATTTGAAGTTAATTGTATTGATATTTTAGTATCAGTCACAAATTAACAATTAATCTAAACATTTGATTAATCTAAACATTTCAATGATTAAATTGTTTATTTAATAGCTTATGTTCCTAGAATTATATTCAAAAAGCCATTCCTTGGAACAGGATTAGTATTATTAATTAAAACATTATATTAAGATTATATTGCAACTGTTGTAATGCTTCTTGTGACTTTAGCAATTAATATATCATTAATTGCAGTGAATTTAGCTTCAGAATTAGAAACACACATTAGATATCCATCTGAATCATATGTTCGAAATTCAAAAGATGAAGTTGGTTTCGTAGAAGATGGATTTTTAATGTTACTTACTGTTAGTATCATAGAATTAGCAGAATTAGGATATTATAAGTTTTAGGTTCTTACATATTAACCTGTATATGTACATTAATAAGTTGTACCACTTACAGTAGTTAAACCTATAATCCTTTAACAACTCATATTTGATTAAATTGTAAGTTCTGATGGAAATTTAATTTCCAAATATCCTCCATTTGTAAATTTAAGAACTGGTTATAAAGTGAACTAAAATGTTGCAATTTGATTCACTATCTATGTATTTTGAGTATTTAAAAATGTAATTAAAATATTTTCAGGTGTTTAAGTTGATATTTAAAATCCTAATGAATCTATCAAAAATGAAAATTGAGTTGCAGTCTAAATCATTATTTGATTACTATTTCTAACTGATTCTTAATTTTAAACATTTAATAAACTATTCAAATAGAATATATAAATACTAAATAATAAATTATGCTGTGGCATCAACTTATGACGTAAAAATATTTGTTACTGTGACTGATTGTCCTGATATTGCAACTATACCAGTCTGATTATTTGAATTCACTTCAACATTGACTGATAATCTACTAAATTATATTTATGAGGGGAAAGTTATTATTAATTATCCATGTTATTCAATACTATGTTAACTTTGAACAGTCAATTTAATGTTATTCAAATCATTTACTTTAAATGATGATTAAGTTAGTGTTTTTAATGATAGATCTCCTGCTTAATATACATCAACTGTATATTGTTGTGTTTACTAATTATTCAATAAATCTATTATTAATTGTACTTACTATGGTTTTACAAAACTTGGATTTGTTAATTCACCAAATTTCAATAAGTATAATGATGATGAAGCCACGCTTTAAGATATTTTAATTGTGCATTTTTTGGAAGAACATGTACATTCTTTCTATACTTATAAATTATACATGTATAATCAGTACTAACTGATGTAAAATAAATCGATCCTGTACATTTTGTTAAGGTACCATCAGCCACAATAATATTTGTATTTGTGAAATCAATAGTAATTATTGAATTTGTTGGCATTTGTTATTGCAATAAAAATTTCAATTCATATGTGGTTGATGCTTGTATTGTATTAATTGTAGGAAATAATTCAAGTGATCCGATCTAAGCAATTATGTGTTCTATCAATAAATAAAAAAATAGTAACATAATTTCAAATTTAAAAAAATATTAATCATTTTATCATTATATTAAAATACCCGCTAAGTAAAAATTCGAATCATTCTACAACATATAAAAAAGACTTTCAAACATTTATTTAAATTTATTTAAGTAATATATTTTCATTTGATATATGCTTTCATTTTTAAATCAATTTATTTACAAATTTTATTTATTTATTAATGAAATAATTAGATCAAAGAATCACAGCTTTAGAATAATTAATTGGAGATGGTGATCTAATTATTACAGAGACTATTTATAATCAAATATAATAAATGAGAGAGATTTGTCGTCAACATAATTTGAGTTCTAAACGTATTTTAATATTATCTATAATCAATTTGTAGTTTAGAAAATGGCTTAATTAATTTATAATTATGATCTTAATTATTGTTATTCAGCTTTACCTGCTTAAAGTAAAATATAATTGATAATGCAATCTGAAAAATAATTATAAGAAGCTTCACAAAATTTAAATAAAGTAATTAAATATAGAAAATTTGTCGATTTTGAACCAATAGTTGGTTTATAAGAAAAAATAAATCAAATATTATTATTATAGACAGCTTCCAAATTGTCATTAAAAGATGATTAAATAATGGTAAATTAAAATAATACTATGATGTTAATTGATGAGTTTAATAGATATTAATAATAATTAGAGACTTTGGTAGTAATAAATTATGAATTAAATTAATAAATTCAATGAAGAAACTAATATTGAATGTAAAATATATAAATATATTAACATTTAAAGTTTCTATTTAGATTATCGTTTTTTTATCATAAATTATAATGAAAAATACAATTTTCTTAATACTATTATTAGTTTGTTCATAAGCATAAGAAGATTCACCAGGAACATCAGCACCAATGGGAATTGAAGTATAAGAGCAAGATTATAATGATGGACCTGATGAAGATTATAATAATGGGCTTGATGAAAATTCTGGAATCTTTTAAATAGGGGAATTTAAAAAAGGAATGGGACCATTAGATCAATTCTTCCTTAAAGATCTTTTTGAAACCATAACAGCAGCTTTTGATGATATTGCAGATAATCCTAATGATTAAACTTTCTTATAAGAAAATAAATAATCAATAGATGAGATAGATGGAGGTGTTTTAAAATTTGAAAGTCCTATGCTAGGATTATTTAATCCTTTATTTTCAATATTTACAACTGAAGGTGACTCTGATTTTGTTGAAGTAGAGACAATTTCAATCAATGGATAGACTTAAACTAAAGTTACAAAGACAAGTACTAGAAATGGTATTACAACAACAACAACAGAAATTACAACAGAAACTTCACTTAATGAGTTGAATTAAGATTAAGAAAATAAATTATCAGATGACTTTTAACTTTTTGAAAATCCTACAATAAATGAAGTTTTAAGTTAGACAGATTAAAATATTAATTAAACAGAAATTATTGATTCTGATTAGAGTTAGTAAGTAGTAACTCAAGTGAATTTAGGTATAAATATAAAAATTATTATTTTTAGATAATTTAGATTCTATTTAAGAATTACATGTAATATAAGATAATTATGTTAAAAATGATTAACAATTAAATATTGCTTAATAATCTAATGATAACTTTACCTTAGGAATTACAATAGTATGTGGATTATCATTAGCAGCAGTTATTGGATTCTCAATTAAAAAGTTTGCTTTTAAAACTGGATGAACAAGGAAATATTATGTATAATTAATTTATAATTCAAGAATTTTTTTATTTTTAAATGAATTCATTCACTAGTTTTGATACTTATGGATCGATAATTTTATTTAATTATTATCCCTATTCTTATGCATGAATTTCAACATTCCATTTTTCATCTTGGAACCATCCCAAATTATCAGCAATAAGATGAATATTATCACATTAATCACATCTTATAAGAACAACACCTTTATGATATGCATCTTTTGTAAAAGTACGAGCCATTTTATTTCCACAAGGACCACATTTAAACATAATTACATAAACACCATTTCCACCTTAATAAGTTCCAGGTATTGTATCTGATACACAATATGATGCTGAGAAATTATCAACAACAGAATGAATTTATGGTTATTAAGGAGTTTAAGGAGGTTAATTAGTTGATGAGCAAAAGAATAGTGGTTTCAATGATAAAAATGATCTTCTTAATAATAACTAAGCTTATTTCATAAATTAAATTTATATGTGTTTTTAGTTTTATTTATATTTTATCAATTACAATATATATATATATATATATATATAATAATTCTAAATTAAAATGTCAGGGAAATCAAGAGATTACTTTGGCACTCTTAAATCAGTAATTTTTTCTATAAAAATTAGGCTGGAAGAACTGTTCTTAAGGAAGAAAGTGCTGGTGACTGTATATAACCAGTTTAAAATTAAGTAAATATAGTCAGTTACGTAGGTCCCTGAAACACCTCCTCATATAAAGAAATATCGTAAATCTTATAAGCATTAACATGGTTGTGCTATTGTAATTTTAATAATTAAATTTAGTTACATCCAGGACTTGTAGATGCTCCAAAACCATAAGGTAATTGGCTTTATGGAAAAAAGACTGATCCTTCTGATAAAGCTGGAGATTTATTTAAATAATAGCCTGAAGGAATTAAAGAATTAATCAATGAAATAAATGAATAAAAATATGCTTCACATATTAAAGAGCCATTAGGTACTATGCCAACAAGAAATTATAATTGGCCAGAAGAATCTAAATCAGATGGATTTGCTTTTGGTTAGAAAATACCTCCTTCTGAATTTACAGCGAAAGAAGTTGTATTTCCTCCTGATGCTAAAAGAGATGATGAAAGTGTTAGATTAATGTATTTGAAAAGTCATGGTAATTTTGAAGCAGGAGAATAAAAAAATAGAGAATATAACTGGAATGTTAATCCAAATGAATTCAGATTTGGTAAAAAAGACGAAAGAGAATAACAATAAATGAAAAAAATATTGCAACATGAATTAACACAAAATTAATATCCTAAAACAACTATTATATCTAAAAATTAAGAAGATTGGAAGAATTATAATGAAGATCCTTTAGGTAAACCTAAAAATTAAGCTTAAATTAATTCAAGAATGCCAACTATTTTTGGAGAAATGAAAAAAGATGAATAATGGACTGCTGGATAATGCATAAATGGTTAACCTACATAAAAAGAAGTTTAACCAGATATTGATTTGGGTAAAGCAACAAAGTTTGGTTTTAGAAATTAACCTAAACCAGGAGATGAAACTAGAACATTTGGTGTTCCTACTATTAGAAATGATATTCTTAAAACAGGAATGAAATCTGTTGCAGATCCTTAAAATTATGGTGATGAAGTTCCTGCCGTTGCATTATTGTTTCCAGAAAAATTCTCACATATGGGATTAACTGAATAAGATTTCTTAATGTTAAGAAATAAAAAAGATATTAAATAAATATTTGAATCTATTGGAATCAAATATGGAATTGGTAAATTTGAAGGTGTTTTCAAAAGAGCAAAAGAAATTGTAATCAATAAATTTTATTTTTTTAGTAAAATACATTTGATGATAAAGTATCAGTTAAAGCATTTTAATTGGCTGTGTAAGAAATGCATCATATTGATTGATTTAATAATAACATCTATCTAATATTTTTACAATGATTTCCATTCAAATTATATGATAATTTTTATGTTAAATTCTAGTACTCTTAAGTTCATCTAATTTTTACTTATCATTCTCATCTAATTAAAAATAAAAATATATTTCATAATAAATTTAATAAAATACCACAACATCATTCTTCTTTAATAAATAAAATTCAATTTAATAACTTAAAAAATTATTTTAATTATAATCAAAATTTTAATCATATTAAATTCCTCATTATCATTATCCGAACACAATAACTATTTTTATCAAGAGATATTATAGTTTTACTTTTGATGATATATAATCTTTATATATCTTTTAATTATTTATTCTTTTTCATTAACTAAATTTCTTACCCACAAAAATTTAATACGATATCGAATAATTTAGTCATAAACCTAAATATATAAATTTCATAAATCAAATAATTATACAAAATACCATTAATAATGTAAAATAAATATGGATATTTTCAATAAAATTAATTAAATAAAAATTATCTATGTTATTGCTTATGAATAATTTGGTTGATTAAGTGTGATTGCTGATATTTAAAAATGGTTTTTTTTTAAATAATTAAATTAAAATATAGAATGTTTTTTAGTCTCAATATTATCTTGATCAAGATTGATAAATTAGCATCTTTCGATAGCCTCATTATTATTAATTTTGATTATCAGACAACACAAAGTTGATTTTCAAAAAATCAAGATAGAGAAATTAATGTATTTTGTATGATTATAATTAATGAGTGAAAAGAAACAAAATAGATATTCATGGGATTTTATGTGTATTTTATTTAATTTATTCTATTTATTCATTAAATATTATGTTTTAGCTCCTCTTCTGACATAGATTCGGAACTATGATCTTTAAAAGAAGCAAACAATTTTCGGAAATATTATTTGCTTCTTATTTAGAGTGGCAATTCTTTGTTTGGCCTAGATAATTTAATGTTTTTTTTTCTTTTAATCATTTATTGATTAAATGGATTGAATTTTTGGTGGTGTGATCTGTTGTTGAAATAGGTTTTTAAAAATCATACCTGCATTAACTTGGACTTCTTGTACCAATTACTTAACTCATTTTTTTGAATAATCTTTATCCTTTGCTATTTTAAGATGATTCAATCAAATCTTAAGACTGATAAAGAAAATCAAGGTAGAGTTAGTGTTCTGCAGTCGTCCAATGGCCTTATCTTATATTATTATTTTAAGATATCTCTTATGAATTACATATAGGCATGGCTGGTACTTAAAATAAAAAGATTAACATACCTGTTACATCAGATTTCATCTGATATTTTTAAATCTTGAATTAAAAAATTAATATACCAATGTTTATACCTAAAGAATTACTAGCAAAATCTTCAAATTATCTTATTTAATTTTAGATACGCGCTTATATTACTCAATATTTTTTGAAAGAATAAATGATTAATCCTTAAATGTACTGAATATATTATTTTCATTTATAATTAATTGAGAATTATTGTAAATTTATATATATATATATCAGAATTCTTTTTTGTTTTATAAGCTGTTAGGTAAAATCTACTAAGTAGATGAATCAAAAATTTTCTTCTTTTATCTTTATGCTTCCTCATTTGGTGTTAATTTATCTAATCTTAAAATCAAATCACTTGTCAATTCATATAATTTATCTTTATTTAATTCTAAATACCTAAGTGCTTCATTGTAAAATTCATTATTTAAATACTCTTTATAAGGAGTTCTGATTTCTTCTAGTTTTGTTTTGATTAATTTTGAAACTGAATTTTAGGGTTAGTTTTAGTTGAAAATTAAAAACTTAGAAATCTATTTTATGTTTTTCTCTAATTCTTAGTGAGATTTATTAGTTTATTTTGCAAAATTGATTTAATCTTTAATAGCTTTAATAAAAATGATTTAAATAGTTGATTCAAAATATTCTTCTAATGTTTCTTTTTGTGATTGCTTTGATTTTTAATTTTTTTCTGGTAAAGGAATACAAAAATCTTAAATATCATCATTTTAATAGCATGCTTCACAATAATAACTAATATAAATAAATATGGATACCCAGCAATTACTAATTTGAAGCAATAATACAAAGCTTTACAATTTTAATGTTTAACACAGACTATTTAATTTATTTATTTAATTTTTTAAGGAGATCTAGTATAAAATTAAAAAGTACGGAGTTTCTTCAAAAATTCCTTTTTAATTCTAATTAAAATATAATTAAATTAATTCCTTATAAGTTTTTCTATCACATTCTTCATATTATATCATGTCTGTGATCAGATTTTTAATTCTGACATTATCTATTTTATCTAAAAACATATTTTTTTTATTTTTTTGTTCAACCTTATATAATAATTATCGAAATACCATATTCAGTCCAACTATTTCAGTTGTTAATAGTAAGGTACATTATAGAAAAGTTAGGCCTAGAGAAAAAATGTCTGATTTTTCTAAGTCATGTTTTATTTTTTCAACTTAACTTGGCTATTCAGACCTTGTAACAAATGCATTCCATAAAATTGGTGAAAAATATACTGGTGTTCCTACTATTGTATTTTTTAAGCTTTCTTAAATATTCAATTCATATAAACTCTTAGATACCCCAAAATCAGTTATTTTTGGAATTAAATTATCAGCTTCAAGCAATAAAATATTTTCAGGTTTAATATCTCTAAATAATCAATAAAAAATGTAACCTATGAAAAATTTATTTTTACTCAACAAGAGTAGAAAACGTTAATAGACATTTTTTAAATAATTCAAGTAGTTGAAAAGCTGAAAAATAAGATCGTTCTTGTTTTCTTGTATGAATTTCTTTTTATAAACTACGATCTGCTAATTCCATGATTAAAAGAAGACTAAATTTTTTTGGCATTAATTCTTGCCAAGCATAGACTTTTACAACATTAATAACATTTGGATGCATGTTAATGAGCTAATTTATTTTAAATTCATTTTAAATTTTGTTAAACATCTATTCATTAATAACTTCGATTTGCTTTGCTGCATAGTATTTTCCTTATTCTAATGGTGAATTATCACATTTGCATAACAATTTATAAACTTTCCCAAAAGCTCCTTATCCTAAACGAACAGGGTTTGAAAAATCAAAATCTTTAATAAATTCTTCTTTAGTTGGATAATACATTTATTAAAATAATTTAACTTCATATAAGCAAATTACTTGTATATAAATTAGTAGTTTATTAAGAGTAAAAAATTATAAAATCAGGGTATTATAAATCATATATAAGAATTTCAGCATATTAATTATCTCATCATTGATTGAATTTATATGTGAAAAAATTTAATAATAAAAAAAACAAAATTTCATCATGTAATCTTAATCAATATTGACTCCAACAACTTAATTTAAGCTAGCTTAAGTAATATAAGCTATAGCATAAAATAAATTATTAAGTTAAAAAAAAACAATTAATAGCTTAAATTCAAATTTTCGATCTTGAAGAAGGTTCAAAATTAAGCTAATAGATATTATTTCTAAGAATAGACTAAAGGAGAATTAAATTGCAAGGTTATTCTGATATCCTTGAATATTTGTAGAATAATAAGATTTCACATTCTTAGTTTTAAGTTGCTTGCTTATTTAAGAAAATAGATAGGGATAGAGATGTATGAATAAAATTAGCAGAGTAACATAAAATTATAATTAAAGTTTTATTAATATCTAATAACAAAATTAAATTTAAGTATCATCAGAGATATAGTAAAACATACCTAATAGATGTTGCAATACTATTACCAACCGTTGAAATAGCACTTAAAGATGTATTTTTTTATTGGGGATTGAGAACTAAAAAGTAATAAATGTACACAAGATAGATTGTTGTTGGTGAATTTTTTAAACTTTTCTACATTAGCAGCTTTTAAGACATCAGATTTATTTAATTTACGTTATTTAACAAAAGAAATATTATCATTTTCATTTTTTGATACAGTAGATCTAGATTATAATGGAAAAATATCTTCTATTAAATTTGTTGCAATACGTTTCATGAAGCCTTTACTTTATAGAAAAGCTTTAATAAATTTAAGACAGATGCTTATAAACAAATAAAATTGAATAAGAGAATTAAATAGATCGAGAGATGGAGATTTAAGAAAATGTTATAAGGTTAGGAGAAAATGATGCGATATAAAGTAAACTTTCATTTATTATTTTATCAATTAAGAATAATATTTTATTTTTATCTTTATTAAGTTGAATTTTATCCTAATGTCTTTAGTTTGAATATCTTTGTTTGAATGGTTAATGATATAATTAATTCCTATTACAGATTATTTTAAAGTTAACACAATAAAAAGATATTTTCCAAAGAACACTAATACTCTTGTTTAATCAAATATATACAAATATTCAATTCAAAATAAAAAATAATAGTTTAAATAGAAATGATTAATGTATATTTTGTTTTTAAATCTCAAACATAATTACCTTATTTTCCTATTATAGATTTATTTAATAATACAATAATATAAGTTACTTAAGAATAATATCATATAATCTACCCTAAATCACAATTCACTTTTTAATCTTTTTTCTTTACCTTCACTCCACTAACTTTCAGATTATTATCCATTTTTATCCATAAAAATACCTTTGCCATGTTATTTTCCTTCTCTAAATTATCCAATATATTTAGATCCATCTGCCCATTTAAATTCTCCGTCTCCATGTTTTAGATCATTATAATATTAACCTTCATATTCTCTTCCATCTGGCCACATAAAATGTCCTTTACCATGCATTTTCCCATCCTTAAAATATCCTATATATCTTCTTCCATCAGTAAATACTAATTCACCAAAACCTGTTATTTGATCATTCTCAAATTATCCATTATAAATATCTCCATTCGAGAATTTTGCCAAACCTTTTCCCTGTTTTTTTCCTTCTCTGAATATCCCTTCAAATTCACTTCCATCATTCAAAACCTCTTTTCCTTATCCATGCTACTCTTAATATTTATTATAACCTTTTAATCTTGCAACCATTCTCCATTATATTATGAACCATCAAATTCATAAAATATCCCATAACCATTTGCAGAATTATTTTTCCATTCACCCTCATATGCATTACCATTAGAATGAATCATTCTTCCTCTTCCATTTGCTTAATCAAATTTCCAATAACCTTCATAAAATGATCCATCTGCAAAATATTACTTTCCTCTTCCATGTCTCAATCTTTATAACCACTAACCTACATAAATATTTCCTTAATTTTTTCTATGTTCCTAAACTAATTTATTTATTTTATACATGTGCTATAAAAAATCTACATTCATTAAATTCTTAAGGCAACTTCTTCTCAAACTTAAATTTACCCAATTTATTATATGTTATCTGAACATTCTATTCAAAAGACTTTGGCTCTTTACTTTATATCCATAAATCCCCTGGTTTTTCTTTCTCAGCTTATTCTTTCATCTAAGCAGCTACTTATTTTGCTTTTTTCTTTCTTATTGATTTTTGGATTATTATAATCTCTTCTTCATGTTCTTCAAAATTTATTTATTATGGAACTAATGTTGGAACTTATTCAGGTTCAAACTATCTAAATTCTACATTCTATATCGTTCCTCCTGGCTATTACGAACAACAAATCCCCATTAAATAAATAAATTATTATGTAATAGTTATTCAAATTTTATAAATATACTTCCTTATTTAAAATTTAACATACTGTTAAGTCTCATTTATTATAAGTTTGTTTAAAATATTCTAATTACTTATAAAGAAGTAGTTCAAATAATATCAAATATAGATTCACAATCATATAATAATATTTAATTTTAAAGCATTTTTTCTTTAATTAAAATGACTTGCTTTTAAAATATTACTTAATTAATTAGAGATCAGACGATCTGATTATGGACTAGCTGAATGTGTTTTATCTGTAGATGATGTTGGAGAATCTCCATTGATTGGAGGAAGTTTTAGCATATTTAAACTCTATTCTAATTTCTCTCTTTATGATTATCTTGGTTCATAATTGCTTGTTCTTCTCGTTAAATTAAATGCTACTTATTAACCTATCAATAATTTTGATTTTCTAGGCTTATAAGGAACTCTAAAAACTTCAAGTTCCAATATATTTTCACAACTTAAAGTATCAACTTCTTTTTGATATTTTTCAGAAAAAATCATTTCAAAAAATCGCTATAATGGAGCAGACAATTCCATATACTCTATGTTGCTGAGATTTTCAAAGTTTTTCATTAATAATTCATTTACTATTTAATTTTCTTGATATAACTTTTTTGTAAATATGCTTAAATTTATTATACTTAAGGAATATATATCTTTTTTCTTATAAAACTTTACAACTCCTTCTTATTCTTAAGAACTCATATAATTTTAACCACTTCTTCTTTAAGGAATTTAAATAGCCTTTCCAAAATTAATTAAACTAACCGATTTTACATCTGTTGGATCTTTAAGTAAAATATTATCATATTTTATATTAGTATGATAAATATTTAACTTATGTAAATAGTTTAAAGAATTGAAAAGTGATTACATCATATTTATTTTCTCCTAATCAGTAAAATTCTAATCGGGTATTAATTTTTAGATTGGCCCACCTTCCAACAATTCTATAATTAAATATATGCTTAATTCTCCTTCGAAAATTTCATATAATTTTAACAAGCCTTTATCCTTATCATTAATTTACCTCAATATATTAATTTCATTCATAAATATCTCCTTCTCATAATTCACACTTTTAGTTAGACTTTATTTATCATAAATTTTAACAGCGTATTCTTATCCACTAATACAATGTTGAACTTTATAAACCTAATTTTATTAAAAATTTTACAGAAGATAGGTTCCCATTTCCTAACTTCGTCAATATTTTATACTTTGATTAAAAATCAGATTGAATCATATATATCTTAAGTTTATTCAAAAAATCTAGTTGAATCCCAAAAAAATCTGCATGCTTTCCATTTTTGCTTAGCCTGAAACCAAATTATTTGTTTTTTTAGTTCATTACACCTCTTAAACAACAATTTTCAATATCAATATATTTATCCTATTAAAGATTTAAATTATACTTATGCTTCATCACTAATTTTAAGGATAGTCTCTGCAATTTAAATTGTTACCATAGTTTCCTTTTTTTAATATATCATTTAAAAAATTCCTTGGTCTAGAAACTGAAGATTATTGTTTCTTACTCTAGTAAATAATTTATTTCCATCATTAAAAAATGACATTTTTGATTTATCAGCTAAAGAGCTAGAACTTATTTTCATTAAAAATATAAATCAAATGTTTTCATTGTCATAAAAAATAAGCTTTTTTTGAAGTCGTTTGATTTTAAGTATAAAAGATAATATCGATTATATATTGACACAGCGAAAAATATTTATAAAAGTTTTTTAAGTTTTTTTGGCATAGAATTTATGTTATAATAGTTTATATAATTTTATTACTTAATTAATATTGTAAAACCGAACTAATATTAAAATTATTAGAGTAAAAAATCAGATTTGTATAGTTTTTATCAAAACTAGCATTCATCTAATTCAACAAATTAAAACAGAATATAAATATTTAGATTGATAGATAATCTAGTCTTTTAATAAATAAAAGTATAATAATTTAATTAAAATTTTATTTTTTGATGTTTTCTTAGCTTAGAATTCATAAAAAATAATAATTTTATACAAGAATTCTACAATAAGCCGATCCTAGATTACATTTTAATAATTATATTGAAAATATTGATAAATGATTTTCTACATATAATAATATTATTTTAATTATAAAAAACTAAATTAATAGGTTTTAAAGTGTTCTCTAAAACTTCTAGTATATATTAGAGAATAAATTAATAAAACATCATTAAATAAAGAAATAATTTACATGATTTTATTAATTAATAAAAAAAGGATTATGATTAATAAAATATTTTTAGAGTTTTTTGAATCAGTATATAAAAATAAAAATAAATGTTCAATTTAATTAAAATTTATTGGAAAATTGACTTCTGTCTGTTGAAGGTTTTTAACTAGAAGACATTAATTTGGTTTATAATCTTGGAGTAGAGGAAACTAAATGATATTTTTTAGATGAGATCTAAGATAATTATGGATTAGTATCATCAATATTAGTTCTTCTCGCTGATGTTACTTATTATGTATTAAAATGAGGGATGTTAGGTTTAGTAACAGAATTATGTTATTATGGTACTTAAGTAATAGATTAATCATAAGTATATCCATTAAAAAGTTCTTAAATGGATAATCTTCTCAACATTATTCCATTTTATTGAAGAGTTTGATTATCTTCTTCGTCTTTTATGTTAGCAAATTTAGCATCAAAATTATCATAATTGCACTAAAAATAGAGATATTAATTTTTACATTAATTTAATAAGGAGATATAACAGTTTTATTTAAGATAGCATTCCAATCAATATCTATAAACCAAGAATGAGCTTAGACTTCTTCAGGACCATTCGCTCCTAATCGATTATTTGGTTTTCTTTGTAAAGTTCTGTTAATAAAATCAGCAGATTCTTCTGACCATCCATCTGGAATTTAATTTGATTTAACTAAAACTTATTTGGCTAGAATTAAATCTCTAATTTCTTTTCTAGTTTTGCCTATATATGGTCTCTACATAGAACTAAAAACAGTTACTTTTCCGATCATGCATTCATAAGCAATTACTCCAACAGCAAAATAATCTGAAGCTACTCCATGAGCTTATCTACACATGACTTCTGGAGCCATATAACCTGGAGTTCCACTTGTATCATTTTCATTATCAGGTTTCCAGATTCTAGCTATACCTAGATCTGTTAAATTTAGATAACCTATTATAGATTCAGATTTATCACCATTTTTATCAAAAACCAAATTCTCTGGCTTAATATCTCTGTGTAAGATTGTATTTGTATGTAAATAATCTAATGCTAATAAGATACATACTATAAAGAACTCTTAAAATAATATATTTATAAAATACTTGTTTGTTTTTCTGTAAATCTTTTCTATTTACACAGATGATATCTTAGGTCTCCTCCTTACATTAAATCCATAACCAAATATAAGTTTTCTCTATCCTGAAAAGATGCATGCATATTTACTAAAAATCTATTTATATGATATTATTTACGGATGTCTTAAATTGCTTAATAGATATTTTTCATTCATCACAGAACTAACACTCTTTTTGTTTATAATTCTAAATTATATAATTATAGTTACTTGCATTTACTCAATTCTTTTATTGCATATTATTATTTTGTTTTTTTGTTTTATGCCTTCCATACTCTTCCAAATCCACCTCTACCAATAACAAAAAGCATTTGAAAATCAGTTTTACAAATCACTATTATAATATAAGTTTTAATTACATGAAACATCATCAAAATTTACATCTTTGCTGTTATTACAATTTCCCATTGAATTAAATATATTTATTAAAATAATAATATAGAATCAAGGTGACTGTAGTGATGATAATTCTTCATCCTCTTCTTTAATTACATTAGCTTATAGTTCTGAGTTCATATTCACTAAATATTAAGCAAAAGTCTTTGGAGCAATATCCTTTAAAGCTTCTTATTTTAGTTATTCCAAAGTAAAACTTTACTAACGAACTTTTTCGAAGTTTTTAGCCATGTCAAACATGTAACTAAAATAATAGGATTATGTTTATACAATTCTAAACGCTTAGTTTCATCAATAAACTTTTTTTATGTTTCTTTAAGTGTGTTTTTTGGATTGGTCTTATAACTAGGGTCCTACTCATTAAAAAAGTCAGATCCTATATTTATTAGACTTATAATATACCCTTCATTGCAGATTCCATAATTTTCTTTAAATCATTAGGTATAGCATGGTCCATCAAAGTGTTGAAGAATGAATTACACAATTCTATCCTTCTTATTGACTGAACTCCAAATTCTTAATCTAATATTTTTAGTTGGGCTTAACAAGGAGAATGTTTTAGATTTACTAACTGATTTTAATAGTTCATATGAAACTCCTTGATCTAAAAAATGTGATTATTTAAAAAAAATACCATTGATGGAATTTTAGCACAATAGTTAATGTAATTGTTTTAGTTTGCTATTGTTGCTTAAAGTCTTAACATCTCTTATGTCAATTCTTCAACTTTATTTTCAAGAAGTTCTATATATATCTTCTTTCTTTTTCTTGAATCTCTTGCAGATTGTCTATTTCGAGCCAATTTTAATTAATGAGTATTTGCCCCATAAGGCTCTTCAGAAGAATCTCCTGTTTACTTCATTTTTCTTTTCCATTTCTCTCCATTTCTCTTTGTACTATAAGAATAAATTAATTTCATTACTGCTTTGGAGTGATTTCTGTATCAATTAATTGAGTTATTTTACTAAGATAGATGCTTTTAGATTAGTTGACATTAAAAAGCTCCTTGTTCTAACATATTATTTCTTCTTCTTTTTTTATTTTCTTTTAAGGAAAAACCGTATTGAGATATTCAAATGTTGGAAGAAAGGGATTTTATTCTTCAAAACCAAATAACCATTTATCATGAAATGCTTCCTAATCAGTTAAATTTTAAGGTGTCATGCTATAAATTGAATTTTGAGGAGGAAGAGTTAGCATCTAAGTGTTTTAAATAAATATTTATGACGCTATCGAATTACTCCATGACGAGATTTAAGACAAAAATTTGTTGAAACACAAAATACAACACATACACTCAATTTAAATTTTAAATATTAATGGCTACATCTAAATTAGACATTTTAGTATGTTGAGAAAGTTGCAGCCATTAAATATTGTATTACGTCAGAACTAATATTCTTCTAATTATTATATTATAATAGAAATATAATAGTATAAATATACATAACAAGATCTTTAAATATTTACTTGAAAAATAAGTATCAAGAAGGATATCCATTAAATATAAAAGATAATTCATTACAAACGAAATTAATCTTCATTTTTCAATTATATTAATATATATTATATAATGATTTTAGAATAAGCTGTATAATATATATTAACGATATAAGTTATGTGATGAGAATGAATATACAATATTGGAAAAAATAAGAATAGCATGTAAATAATATCCTCCAAAATGCCATTTATGACATCTTTTTAATCTTAAACTATAAAATAGTGTAATACTTTTTAAGTGATATTAAGTAATTTTTTGTTATCCTTTCTCAATGAATAATGTTGGACTTCTAGTTTCTGCTCTTTTCGATCGTTTTAAAAATTTAGAGTTTTTTAATTCCTTTTATAAGGCAATTAATGAAATTTCATAATACCCAGAATAAAAAGTACTCTTAAGTTAGAAGTTTAAAATAAACTTCAAGAAAATGATTATTAAGGTATTAATAATTAATACTTTAGAATAACAAGAACTTCAACTGTTTAATATTCAAAATAATTGTTAGAGAGCATTATTTTAGTTAAGAAATTTGCATCACAATATTTATTTTAATTGTTTCAACTTGGATGTGAATTAGATATAAATTTAGAAGAACAAGCAATTATATTTTTGAAATTCCTGAAAAACACAAGAGAAGAGAGTTTCATTACAGAAATAATTGAAATCCTTTAAAATATCAAACAAAATATATTCAGAAACTCTTTATGGTCTATAGGCTTAGAAGATCAAATTGAATAGTGTAATTTAGATATGAAAAGAATTTAGACTTTTATACGATATAGCATCTACTAACAGTAAAAAAATAGAAACAACATTAAATTATGATGATTCAGATACTGAATAATCTGAAATTGATATGCATGAAGTTATAGAAGGTTGGATATGTTAAGATGAATAAGGTTACTTCAAATAATAATTAGTGTACTTTAGAAATGATGTATATTTTGAATTCATCATGAAATTAGTATTCGACTTACTAAATTCATAACCTATACCTTAATGGGTAATTTGATTATTTAAATTATAGTTTTCAATACTGTAAATTGAAAATGATGAATTAAATGATTGTAGAATGTGGAAATCTGAAACATAGAAATTAGATCCTGTTTATAATTATAGGTCAAAAAAAGTATTAAAGATTATTACTAATGATAAAAATTTTGCTATAATTACAAAATAAGTACCTTAATTGTTAATGAAAATATGTAAAAGTTATTTCTAATTAGTTTACATGATTTATGAATCGCTTAAAGATTATGAAAGAACAATCAATCTCTAACATATAGGATAATTGATTGACTATTTATTTTTGTAAAGTCCTAAATCTTGTCTCTATTATATAGTTGATTTAAACTTGGCATTTTTATGATGATATTTAAGAAAACATTTCAAGTTAAGAATTTAAGTTTAAAGATTTGGATAATATAAATGAATTTGCTAAATAAAGAAATTAAAATCATTCTAAATTTCAATTTAATTCTCAAGATTAAAAATTCAAAAGATAAAAAACAATAGTTGAAATCATCATAATTCATTTAGTCCTTAAAATAAAATATTATGTGTTACAAAATTAAGTGTTTTAGCTATTGATAAATTCGAAACAAAATATACTCTTAATAAGAACAGTAAAGCCTTACCTCAATTAAATTCAGCATCAAAATAGAATAAATGGATTAACATACTATCTATATTTCCAAAAAATAAATCATATTTGATACAATTTCTATTATCTATATTAATATACTCATATTTGCATAAATTACTGTTCTTCCACTAAAATAAACAAATTATCTTAGATAAGAAAATCTATAAAAACAACAATTCCTTATGAATACTTCAATTCGATTAAGAACTTTTGGATCTGATAAATTGGACTTTAGTTCTAATGATGGTTTTTCTAGTAGCCGATTAAAAACATTTTTAAATATAATAAGAAAGTAAATTTGAGAAGGATTATAATAAATTCATAAAAATGAATCAACAGCCTCGTCTTGTGCATAATTAATAAAGGGATTGATATAAACAACATTTCAAGATAGATGGAAAAAAATCCATTCTTTAGGATTATGTAAATAATAGAATAAATTAAATACAGATTTAGTATTTTGTTCAATAATAACAAAAAATAATTTGGAAAGATTATTTTAAATTTGTTTATCATCTTTACATTGTTCAAATGATGGATATTTGTCGAGTGAAGATGAATGTAGAATGATTATTAATGAAATATTTTAGAAGTATCCAAGATTAAAATAATCTAATTTAATAGTAGAAAGTTTAAAAATATGTTTTACTAATGTTGTTGATTTTTATGAGTGTAGTAAAACTAAATAAATAATAAAATAAAATGGGTCATTAATAATTAAATTTCAAATAATTTATTATAAGTGAAATAATTTTATTTGGATTTTAAATGTTTGAAGTGAGTAAATCTTAAATTTAATAGAAAAATCCTTATTTGTATTTGAATGAGACAGTATTGCATATATTAGTGATTTGGTATTTTGATTACATTCAATAGAATAGTAAGAATTTATAAATTTTTTATCTTAATAATGACAAGAGCTCCATAACATATAATAATGCACTGATTTTAAAATTGGGATTTATTATTTCTTTATATAATTTTTATTCTAAATATAATAGGAATTGTATTGGATGTTTAAATGAGGTAGAATCATTTTATTTACACTTAACTTTTATAATTCACATAATAAATGAATCTATATAAAATAGAAATTTATCTGTTGTTTAAATAAGTTTAAATTAATTATAATCATGGTAATGTTTACTTTAAATACTTCCAGATCCAACCAGTAAAGCCATCTTAATTTTATATTAGAGAATGAAATGTTAAACAATATATATTCCTACAAAAGTTGTTATAAATTAATTTCACAGTATGAGATCTATGGATGGAGAATAGAAAATTATANAATATACTCATATTTGCATAAATTACTGTTCTTCCACTAAAATAAACAAATTATCTTAGATAAGAAAATCTATAAAAACAACAATTCCTTATGAATACTTCAATTCGATTAAGAACTTTTGGATCTGATAAATTGGACTTTAGTTCTAATGATGGTTTTTCTAGTAGCCGATTAAAAACATTTTTAAATATAATAAGAAAGTAAATTTGAGAAGGATTATAATAAATTCATAAAAATGAATCAACAGCCTCGTCTTGTGCATAATTAATAAAGGGATTGATATAAACAACATTTCAAGATAGATGGAAAAAAATCCATTCTTTAGGATTATGTAAATAATAGAATAAATTAAATACAGATTTAGTATTTTGTTCAATAATAACAAAAAATAATTTGGAAAGATTATTTTAAATTTGTTTATCATCTTTACATTGTTCAAATGATGGATATTTGTCGAGTGAAGATGAATGTAGAATGATTATTAATGAAATATTTTAGAAGTATCCAAGATTAAAATAATCTAATTTAATAGTAGAAAGTTTAAAAATATGTTTTACTAATGTTGTTGATTTTTATGAGTGTAGTAAAACTAAATAAATAATAAAATAAAATGGGTCATTAATAATTAAATTTCAAATAATTTATTATAAGTGAAATAATTTTATTTGGATTTTAAATGTTTGAAGTGAGTAAATCTTAAATTTAATAGAAAAATCCTTATTTGTATTTGAATGAGACAGTATTGCATATATTAGTGATTTGGTATTTTGATTACATTCAATAGAATAGTAAGAATTTATAAATTTTTTATCTTAATAATGACAAGAGCTCCATAACATATAATAATGCACTGATTTTAAAATTGGGATTTATTATTTCTTTATATAATTTTTATTCTAAATATAATAGGAATTGTATTGGATGTTTAAATGAGGTAGAATCATTTTATTTACACTTAACTTTTATAATTCACATAATAAATGAATCTATATAAAATAGAAATTTATCTGTTGTTTAAATAAGTTTAAATTAATTATAATCATGGTAATGTTTACTTTAAATACTTCCAGATCCAACCAGTAAAGCCATCTTAATTTTATATTAGAGAATGAAATGTTAAACAATATATATTCCTACAAAAGTTGTTATAAATTAATTTCACAGTATGAGATCTATGGATGGAGAATAGAAAATTATACCATAGAAAATGATTTTGGATTCAATAAAATAAAAGTAGAGTTAAATTATATTCAATAGATTAAAGGTACCAATAAAATTTCCTGATAGAAAGAAAGGTGAGAAATTTCTGAGTTGTGTTAAAGAGAAAGTTGAATAATAAAAAAAAGAGCATTAAGTAAAGGTTAAGTGATTTATTATTATATATATTAATTTTATATGATACTTGAATATGCTGTAATAATTGTTAATACAAGATTAGTTAAATGAAGAAGATGAATATAAAAGAATGACAAATATCACTCGAGGATGTCAATAATTAGCATAATAATTACCATTCTATGAATCATTTAATAACTCTAATTTAATAAGATAATGTATAATTATTAGTACTATCAAGTATTTTGTTGTTATCCCTTTTAAGAAGAACCTGTAAGACTATTACTCAATATAATGATGGAGAGATTTCAAAATCTTGAGTTTTTAAATTGTTTACATAAAGGTTTGAGTGAACTTTCCTTATTACAAGAATAAAAAACAATGTTGAGTTGCAGATCAGCTGGTAGAAGAAGAAAAAGTCAATAAAAGTACTAAAATTTAATATTAGGAATATAAATTGAATAAAGATTGGCTAAAAATGTAATAGAAAGCTTAGTCATATCTAAACAATTTGGAGTGACTTATCTAAAACCATTGTTTCTTTTAGTTTCTAAATTGAAATAATCACTAGAAAGTAGATGTGGAATCTTCATTTCATTCTTATACAATACTAGAGATCAATAAGTTATGAAATTATTAGTAGATATCTTTTAAGATTGTAAAAATGAAATATTTGGTGTTTGTACTTGGGTAAATAGAATAGAAGATTAATTTGACCAATGTATTTAATTTAATAATTAAAAAGATTTCTATTAAAATTAAATTTTAAGATCATCTAATTCTATTTAAGTTGATATTGAATAACATGGTGATCAAAGTGATTCAAGTGAATCTTCTATTGAAATTGATCCCAATGAAGAAATATAAAAATGGATATGTTAAGATGAAACACCTCTTGTTAATGAAAAATTGGATTATTTTAGAAGTCCTGAATGTGTAGAGTTCATTTTAAAATACATCTTTGACCCAAATTATTTCTCTACTATTCATGAATGGGTAATCAAATATTCTTTTATAATAATAGTCTTATCATTATAGTGATTTAAAGATTAAACATAATTATAAATCTAGAAAGCTTGATTAAACTTAAGAAATAGATTAATTAAGTCTTATTCGTTCTATGAAAACGTTAAAATTGTTGATGAATGAAAATAATTATACTCTAATTAATAAACTTGTTCCATAATTCATTATTAAATTATGTATCATATTAATATATAATTAGTTCATTGCATTTATGATGCTTTAAATGATAAAGATAAAAATGTAGATCTTAATCAAATTACTCAATTGTTGGATTTCTTATTATAAACTAATCGAAGATAATCTATTTTATTAATTATTGAATTAAATTTGATGTTTTAATTTGTATCATTAATGTATAATGAAAATATCGAAACACTTGTTTAAAGTAAAAATATAATTAATTAATATATAGAAATAATCATGGATGAATATGATATGGGAAACTATGTTTTTGAGTAATTTTGGTTATATTTAGAATGTACTAATTGGATATAATATTTTTTATTTATGTCACTTAAAATAAAAGTTGATACTTTTAAAGCTAATAAAAATAATTAAAGTGATAAGACAGTTAATATTACAGGATTATTAAAATCATAAGTGAATTTTGATCGTTTTAGTAACAATAATGAAATAGATCTTATTGAAAAGAAAAAACTAACTGATTTTTTAGGATAAATGTAACCAGGAAAAAATTACATATAGTAATTTGGTATGAATTAATTAAATTGGCATTTAAATTAAGATATTCGTGAATATTTATATGCGAGTGAAATTGAGGGAAAAGATATTGATAATTTTAGACTTTTTATTAGTGAGAGATAAAAATATTAATCAACTGTTTAAATTTTATTAAGAGATAAACATTTTATTTAATAGGGTATGAGAAATGATACTTTACATATAAGACCTAATAGTAGAAGAAAAATCAAAGAAACTTTGTAAATAAAAGATTTTACAAATCATTAAATTGCTTAAACAATAAAATAATTACCAAGACTTACAATTGGAAATTAAGAATTATCAAAATGGATTTAACCATCTAAAATTTCTAGTTAAGTTAGTATAAGTTAAATCCCAAGTAAAAGTCCAAAGCTTTATCCAATCAGAACAGAATAAAGTGTTGATATATCTTCATTTTATGAAGGATTTTCAAGTGGAAGATTAAGAGGATTGTATCCAAGTCCCAAAATTTAAATTCAATCTAGTAGTTTTGAAAGAAAAGCAATTATATATACATCTGATATATCTTTATTACCATCTTGTATTTCTATTATGAAAATACTTGTTTAAAGTGTTTTTTAAAATATGGCTCATTTAACTTAAACTGATAAACGACAACAATAACGATTTAAAATAGAATAGGATTTTATTTTACCTTAATTTTTTAATAAAGATATTTTAACTTAAATTTTTAGAGTATACTTATATGATATTATCAATAATGATAATTCTATATCATAAATTTCATGTGAATGCGGCATAATTATAAATGAAATCTTTTTAAATTGTAAATAACATTCTGAACTTCATTCCTATAAAAAAATTTTAAAAGATTGTTTTTATGAGATTGGAGATTATATTTGTAAAGTTATTGTTAAATTGCATGATGATTCATCCTCTAAATTTAAAAGATTTCTATTAATTACAACTCTTTAAGAAGGTTTAATGTTATTTGGAGAAAAGTAAGATACTCCAAAAAATGTATTTAGTTTAATGAATGAAACAATGTTACATTTACTTATTGTTTGGTTTTTTGATAGTGATTAAAGCAATTTATATTAATAAACTTTTGTGAAGTATTTTTTAAATATTTACTAGATTATTTTCGATTATATTTTCAAGAGGTCCTTCCTATCTACTAGGTAATATCTTATTTAAACTTGGATTAATTAGTTCATTACACAATGCTTATTTTAACTTTTTTGTAAATAGTATCAAATTTACAAATGGTGTCGAAAGTTTATTCTATTATGTTAGTATTCTTATCTATGCAATTTAAAAATCAATAAATTTAAGAAAAATATAATCAATTTTAAATAATTTAGAACCATTAAATTCTTGGAAATCTTTAAGAGATATATAAATAGATAATAATTCTCTATTTGTATAACAAATTGAATTAATAATTATGGATAATGATGGAAGAACTCCAAGATAACTACTAAAAAAGAAAACAATTACAATTTAAAATAAAAATATCATCTAAGGAAGGAGATCTTAAATTACTATGCTTACTAGTCATAAGTAAAAATATAAATAAATTTAAAAGATTTTCGATGTAATAAACCGCAACTAATTTAGTTAACTTAATAAAAGTTAAGGATAAATTATTACTCAATTAGAAAAAAAGTATTAATTTTTGAATCAATTGAGTTAATTTTATAATCCATACTATTTACAAATGTTAATTACTTATTAATATTATATTTTTTAATATTCATTAATGAAGATAATATTTATTTAGTTTTTTATAAAGAAGTCCATAAATATGTGAAAAAATAATAAAATTTATAAAAATATATGGAGAATTATATAAAATTCAATTAATCCTAAACTACAAAGTTAATTAACATTTGGATAGATGAATTACATTAAATAATCAACTGTTTAATCTCTATTAAAAAAGCATCCATTTGAACAGAGTTTTTTTTTAATTAGAATTTTATTATAAAAGATGGACTAGGGAATAGGAATCCTAAGATATGATTACTTTAATAATCATCAAAAATATCTTCAATATTTGATAAAGTTTTTGATTTCTTTTTAGATATTTTACTTGGATAGGCAGACTTGATCATTTCAAAACATCATCAAATTCACGTCTATTTTTAAATTCATTCTTCTTTTTTATTTAAAATATTCACTGACTTCAATTTTTTTTTTTCAAATCCTTAATTGCAGAACTTGTTTTTCTTATGTCATTGCACTTTAAATATTCATGATTTTTAATTAATTGTCTAAGTATTTAGATTTATCAATATAAATTATGAAATTAACTTAGAAAATTTATGTATTATTATAATGTCTTCTGACGTTAGGAAACCAATAAAATTTATTTTAATAATATGCAGAATATATGCATTTTTATATAAATTTTGAACAAATATACTTCATTTACATTGACCATACGTCCTCAAAAATAGGAAATGATTCGAATATTTATATAATTTTGTTTAAAAAAAAAATTATTTACGATCATCTTTAGTAAAATCAATAAATTAGATCAAAAAATTAATATTAAATACTTTTTTTGTTTGAATACTCAATAATTATAAAATTTTTAACTTGAA